AAAAATAGCGGTGATTACTAAGTCCCTGTGGATTGCTTGACATAGCACTGTGGCAAAATATATCATGTTTGTCAGTAATGCTTACAGTGATGCTGGCACTTATTCCATCACGTGCATGTGTTCTTGTTTTCATTGAGTATGTGTTATCGCCCATCCCGTTTTGCAACTTTGACCACAAATATTTGTGGAAATCGAAAACATTGCATTTTAAATGCCGAATGAAACGTGTAATTTCACTCGGCATGCGTTATATAGACGATGCCCCATGTGTATCCCCGAGTGCCAGCCAAGCGTGTATTTAAATGAACAAAAACCCTAATTGACAGTTTCATTTTTGTGGGAAGTATTTGAACTTGGAATACGTTAAGACTCGGAGGTTGTGCTATGCCAGCGTAATTCCACTATCAAAGTGTGAGAGACAATACATGAATGGGTTACAGTCTGCACAACGGTGAAAAATGGAAACTGCAAAGGATTTTCGTCTTGTAAAGAGTTGACACTTTTATTGAGTGGATATGTGTGAATGCTGTACGAATAGCAAAGAGCCAAGTAACATCTATGGGATCTTTTTTCCAGAATAAAAAATAATGAAATAATAATAGGCTTCACCCTTTGTGGCAATCAAACACCAAATAAATACCTATTGTAAGGCATCACATCTGCATTAACCACACATACCTGTGGCAAAACATGCAAACAATACACGCTCTGGTAATATATTGGCATTGTCTTTGTAACGTATTGGCCTACACCAGAGACAGACTTCTTTATGGCCTTATCTCACCAGTGTTAGACCAGAGAATGCCAAAAGGCGAACACTACTACAAGGGCAATGCAAGTATAACGTGTTAATATGTCGGGTTGAGCAGTTATATCGATTGGACCTTTTTTCTGGCAAAGTAACATTGAGTTCAAACAGAATGTATGTGGTGTGGTCAAGACATTTTGAGGGTAAGGTGATTTAAAAAAAGTTCAACCATCTTCATCCTAGGCTTAGTTTGAAGCCTTGTCTCTACTAATAATATGGAAATATTTTTCCGCATTAAAGGTAAATTAAAATCTTTAATTCATTCCAAACTTATGAAGCAATTCTAAAATTGATTTGACTGCTTCTTTGACATTTACAGTCATGTATCCCTACATGGGATTAATTAAACTAGTAAAAAAATATTACGAAAAAACCCCTCACCTTTTGACAGCTAACTTTTCAAACTAATAATCTACAAAATAAATTTCTTATATGTGTCAGAAGCCATTTTGAGGTGAGCATAAAGTATGTATAATCGAGGGAATGTTCTCATTAGTATATAACGCAAAGGAGTAATGTATGACTGTTATTACCTATTTTGCAAGACATCCTTCACACAGCCCATTCCCATGTGTAACGAGGACTATGCGGTTGCAATGCCTAATGGGATATTATATTCTCAGGACCTGTCACGAATGTGAAAAACAGGAAAACCAAACCCTGGACTTTGAGGTTGCACATGCACTGTACACCACCAGGCAGAGGGACCAGGTCTATCAAGGTCTAGCAACTAAACCTTAGGATTAGCTTCCTTCAAAGAGGTTATATTTACGTTTTGGGGGTGCTGCCGTTGGGCAATAGTCCGTGCATTGCACTTGGAATCAAGAGGATCCTGGTTTGATTTGGTCTCTTTGCGCTGCAGTTGAAACAATGGGCAATTATCTTAAATCCTCCCACCTCCAGCGGTAAAAGTGGTTATACTGCGATTAGTTAATAAGCAGGTTGTGTGTGACGGGGTAAAAGTCTGGGTACTTCCACCTCTTCAAAGACCTCTTTCCAGCATGGAGGAGTCGGTGAATACTATCGAGAGCAGAGGTCGCCAACCAAACTAACAAGAAGAGCCATTGTTTTCTAATTCGGAAAAAATAAGTAATATAAAAAACAAAAAACACACGCTTTCATGAAATGTACCGTACTAGTAATGGCAGAACTCCACGACTCCAGGAAGTGGCCCCGAAGCTTTCCATAACGTAAGGGCCCGTGGTCATTTACGGTCAACGTCAGTTTACCGTGAACAATTAGACCCAAGCCGAAACATAGCTTAGAAAAAATGTTTTTTTTTAAATATCTTTTTATTTTTTTATGATAGAATATAGTATTGTCATCAGTATGACATAAGTATACCAAGTTTGCAGTCGATACCACATTGGGAAATGGGTTAAAATTGAGTTACAAGATTTGAGGATACGACAACAACAGACAGTGAGTTAATAGAAAGCGTGTAAAAACTTTATTTCAAGAGCCGCAATGCCATGTGAATACGAGACGGTGGTGATCTCCATATATATAAAAGGCAAAAGTTGTGAATATGTGTGTCTGTTCAAAATGTTTAGCGTACTTCCCGACATACAACAAACTGGAAATTTGCCATGTGGGTACTTTCCAGACTGTACACCATGCAAAAAGTTACAAAAATACACTCAATAATGCATATATTTTTTGCACGGCAAGTGAGCTGTGACGTCAAATCTGTCATGTGACCCGTGCATGTGGAAGCGTAACGCATTGTAGTGTAGTGGTTAGCACGCCGCGCTACGAACCCGGCGACCCGAGTTCGATTCCCGCTTACGGCCACTGCCGGTGACGATTATTTGAACCGGTCCTGGGCCTCCCCTAGGTCGACTCAGCCTCAAACGAATAACTGGTGTGGTGTGTGAACATCGCCACTGGGGAGACAAAGGCGGCCGGGCGTGGTGGATCCAAGTCCCGGGCGAAGCCGGGTAGGAAAGCTAGTCCTTAATAAATATCGTCACGTGGCAGTCCTTGAAGAGTCGCACGTTTCCGACCCCTGCTTTAGAGGAACTCTACAGGCCCCTTGAGTGAAGGTCCTTTCACCAGCAGTGCCGTGAGCAAGCATTTGCAGGGCTGCACCTTTAGCAAGCTTTTACCGTTATAAAAAGTGAAACACCATTTGGAGAATAATTACACTGTACATAATTAGAAAGATTGAATAGCTGGAACCATGCCACAGCGTGACTTCAATCATCTTAAATTCAGTCTTATTGGAAGGTAAAATGGGTTTTATTTTATTTCATGGTCAAAGTTTATTCAGATTGTTCGTATAGCTCATGAATTATTGAGCCACGAGTAAACTAAAATTAAACTGAACGCATTTGTTATAAACACTGCCCTACATCAGAAAAGATGATCAGAGGCTCGTGGTTATTCACCGAGGATGAAATCAGCTCATGTGCAGGTTGCTGGGTGGATTGTTGCATCGCGGGATCATGAGAGGTGGCGGCGGTTCTGGGAAAACCTGAATTCATCCAGCAGTTGATCGATCATGGCTGATGATGCTTAATGACTATTCAGAGAATGGCCATTGCCCAAAAAGTGTAAACTTCTTATTCAGGTTTTGTTGTTGTTATAGGTCGAGGTTCACGATGAGCGTGGCGAATTTTAATCAGTTGCCCCCTTTTTATACAATTGCAGTCTAATCACTGAAAACGGAATCCCTCGATCTCGTTTACTTGCTCGATACTTCGTTATTGACCATTCCGTGCTTGGTGTACACTCGATTAAACAAAAACCCGTGAAGGAAATGTGTGTGGAGCTCGTGGTATTTGTGGTGCTTGATTGTTTGCAAACTTGATGTTTCTAAAGCTGATGGTTAACATCATGTATTTTACCTCTAAAAATACAGCAATGGCCTTAATAATAGCATTCGATTAAACAGAGACATGTGGTTTCACATATTGAAGGGCATGTTATCTTTGAGTAATGCTCGTAACAAAAAAAAAATCCTCTTACAGAATTTTCACCCCCGTAAAGTCTGCAGTCACTTCATCAATGCCGTAAACATTATTTGATGTTGATTTGAAGCTTTTGGGACTGCAGGAATCCATAATCTTTGGTTCTTTCGGTAAAGTCAAGTAGGTATTTTATTTTATACCTACGTGACTTTACCGAAAGAACCAAAGAGTATTATTTGATGTCTTTGATGACTTTGAATAGAGTTGACTGAAGTGCAGCCTACACATCGCACTGCATCTCTGTTTAACCTGACTAATGAACATGATTCTGAGATAGTTTAAAGTAAAGATGCGGCTCTGAATTTCCTTGCTCATGCCAATGTCGGTGGAAGGACCTCCACTAGAATGAGTTCGAGGGAGAATATGGCCTACTCTTCCACATTTGTCATATGCCCTGAAAGAGGTGGAAGTACCCACACTTTACTCTGCTGCACGCAACCACAGGTTGGCTAATGTGGTCGTACAAACGTTATACCGCTGCGTGGGCAGAGGCGTGGGGAATTGAGACGTGCGCCCAATTTAACTGCTGTGCTGGGAGATCAAATTGAACCGGCGATCTCTGGATTTCAGGTTCGGTGTGCGAACCATGGCAGCAAGGGGCAGTAACTCATAAGAGAATGCTCAAATAATATATACTCATACAACAAACCCAGGCCACATAATTTTCATTGATTCAATTACCTTGCAAAAAAAAATAAACGGTTGCTCTGTTCTGTTGTCGATAAAATCCAGTTAGACACAAGTCACAACTTGGTAAAGTTCTGCTATCGCATGCCGCTATCGTTCGTGCATTGGTATTTTTTTTGTATTCCACGACTTGTGAAGTCTTTGTGTCCTCGGTTATGCCTGGGTTGGTAAAGTCACCTTGATTCCAATCTTTGTGGCCTTTTAACTGCTTGCTGCTTGCATGGCCTTGTGCTGCTTTGTTCAAACGACATGCACAAGGGGACACGTGGGAATGAATGTGTTGAGGGAAGAAAAAAAAGCATACACGTTTTAGGCTATTGTTGTCTTTCACTTGCAATGTGTATGAATTGCGGTGAAATTAAAGTTCACCGCATTGTAATGTCATCACTTTAAAGACACATTGCGAAGTACTGTGGAATAAAATATCCTTTAGATTTGGAATTTTGCATTAAAGGTCACAATGTCCATACTTGCTTGTCAATGCTTATTATTCTTACTTTCTTTCTCCCCCCCCCCACCCCCCCCCCCCCCAGAGATTTGCGCTTCAACAGAGTGAAGGAAATTCCTGCAGGGGCTTTCAAGAGATTAAAAAATCTGAACACTTTGTAAGTACCCAAAGCTGCTAATGCTGTTTGATGAGCGAAGTTGGTCTGGACACCTCACCGATGTATTTTCCTGTTGCACCGCTTGTTGTTTGGCACAATGTCTGTGATTTCACTGCTCTGGCTGGGAGCTTCTTTCAGGAACTTGATTGAGCCAACTTGACTTTCTCCTTAAATTGTATTCATTGCTGTCTGCTGCCAGTGTTTGATGTAGCCTAGCCAATGGTATTTATTAGCTGTATTTATTTATTAGCTCTGTTTGCTGCATTTACTACTTGAAGAAGCTCTCAGCACATGGAGCGAAACGTCTGACATCGCGCCAAACGGCACGCGGCACATCGGAGAGCTGCACAGCACAATCGCGAAAACGCATATTGAAGCTTGCTATATTTCTTTAGAAAAAAAACTGAGTATTTGCCTGCTGTATTTCATATTTGTCAGATTAATAAAAATGAGTGTGTAATGTCCTCATATATAGCCTTTATATGCATAGTACTTACAAAAATCCAAAAGTCACATATATAAGTTGCAAAACATGGGTGTGATCCTTTGAGTCTTGTGGCTGCTGGCATCATATTCAATTGGTGTATGCCAAGCCACACTAACATGGCGTACAAGGGAAAGCATTCAATACAGTTCAGTGGATTATTATTAAAAAAACATTTATGGGAAAGCCTCTGTTAGAGTTGTCACTGGCAACTGTTAGGGGCTTGCTATACTGGTTCAATCTTCACATTTCCTTGTTTTGTGTTTAAAACCAGCCCCTGGCCATGCTTTCTTATGCCACACCACACTCTGGCTGCTTCTACCTGCTGTACCAATAACGTTGTGCCAAGCACAACACAAAGATCAATGGTATTTGTGTATTTACTTTACAGTGCCTTCTGTATTCTTGTTCATTCAATGCAACCGATCTTTCCTTGGGATGCCTTTGGAGTGAATGGACACAGCTTTGGGGCTGGGTGAATGGTGGGGCGAAAACATTGTAACTCGCACCACGTGCCAACTATAACAGTGCCGTGCACCACAAAGATTTATGACTTTTTGTAGAACTACCTATAATGTACTTTTAAAAGTTTGCTGCTAACAATGCAGTTGTTTACATAGTTGTGACTTTCAATCATATTTGCATTTCGTAATTATTCCTGATGTTCAACAAAAGTACAGGACAAAAGTATAGTCTGTGGGTGATCGGCAAGAATGTGGAGAAAAACAACCCCGCTGTTTTTCCCGAGTCGTACTACTTACAGGAAAGCTATGGGGCAGTAAGGAGATGGAGAGAGAAGGGTCGGAGGCGACAGAAGAAGTGAAAGAGCAGAAGGGGAAAAAGGGTGTCCAGATGGATCACATAATTGGGAGGATAACACCGAAATCAAAAGAAAGGGAGACCAAATGTTCATACACACCACCAGTGACTGTATTTGCATTTTTTTCACTCCTAACAGTTTTAGAAAAGACATCTCTTTGTTCAGTGCTGTTCCCTTACAGTAGGCGTTTTAAATTGTTTATTTAAGTATCAATACAATTTCCTACACACCATTCTAAGGTTCAACTTCGGTGGCGGAAATTTGAAGTGGTAAATCTTTTTTGTTGTTGTTGTTGTTGGTGATCGTCACGGATTGCTACCCTCCTGAAAAGTCGTGCCTTTTATTTTGGCAGGTCAGCGATGTATGGATATGACTGGAAAAGCAATTTGTGGGTGGTGGATTTGTTTCCATTACCCGTTACCATGGGGCACAACGTAAACAAACCACGCTCGTGAACGTGTCCACGGCCCCCCCAACACGCGGGTGTATGTGCAGCCTTTGCACCTCTTTTCCACGGCACAGCCGAGCTGAGCTGTGCCGTGCGCCTGCAGACCCAACCCTGCCTGGGGCCGTCTTGGTTTTGGGCCACTGCAGTAAACCGTGCCACGCTGTTGACCGTGGCACGTTCGTCGCGTTTGCGCGCCTGCGATTAGCGCGTGTGGCTGCGCACGGCGCGGAAGAAGTTCAACATGCATCCATGATTCTTCCCGTCAAGTTGCTCGTCTTGTCTTGCTCGGCGTTGATTTGCTCCACAAAAAGGTCACGAGGCAGTCCTTGAAGAGCCGCAAGTTTGCGACCCGTGCTCTAGAGGGACACTAGAGAGCCCCTCTAGTGAAGGCCCTTCCACCAGCAGTCCCGTGAGCAAGCGTACATACGTTTGTATGTACAGCATTACAGTATATACGGTGAAAATAATTGACCCCACGCCTGACCATCTTTTGGTCAGAGCCGGATTCGGATAGAGTAAAACCTTGGATTGCGAGTAACTTGGTCTGCGAGTGTTTTCGCAAGACGAGTAAAAATGTTAAATAAATATTAATTTGATAAACGAGCGAGGTCTTGCAATACGAGCGGTACGTATACGCTTTGTACTGCCGAGCATCACGTGATCACAACTGATATGCGAGTGCTTTGATATACGAGTGCTTTGGATTACAAACACGTTTCCGGAACGAATTATGCTCGCAATCCAAGGTTTTACTCTATCTTGTAAGGCCATAGTTGCAAGGTATCATTTCTGGCTCGGAATAGCAAGTAGCCAGTGGAAAGCCGTCCGTACCGAGAGGGCCCACACTAGCACAGTTGCTATGTGCCAGTGGAAAAGGGTCATTACCAAACAGATCGGGCTGTTCCTTTGGCACTGACTTACCCACTTTGCATTAATCTTAATTCTATTGAATTAACATTGATGTGTCAATTAGATTTGTCTGGCTATAGTTGAGAAAACAAAACACCAAAACGTATCTGGATAAACAAGTACACTCGCAAAATACTGCATTTGTGAATGTTACGATCATGGGTAATGTCTATTCATCATAATCACCATCATGTCTGAACATGTATTTTATTACCTGTTTTTAAAGATTGTCAAGAGTAGCCTCTGCACCGTGCATGGTGTTCAATATCATCTTCATCATCAACACTTTCATGAAAAGATTGCTTCCAAACTCAATTTATAATTAGACTAAAATCTAGAAAAAAAATGAAGACAACAGTAAACACAGGTCATTCCTCCTGCAAATATTTTTTTGGCAAATTTGCATTACTCTATAGTTTACCTGTCAGCTTTTTGTTGTTGTTGGATCAGAGCGATTTTTTGGATGCCTAGAAGCTGTCGATTACCATCATGAGCGTTATCATTTATTATTTCTACATCGTTTTCATGTACAAAGTTTTTTTGTTGCAGCACACACAATTCAAAATAAGTTCAAAATAACCTTTAAAAAAATAAAAACAGCCAAGAGGAAAATATTGGCGGTCCCGACTACAGAGAGCTTTCACGCTGTGATATTAATCATTTGATAGTTCACCAAACAGATTGGGTTTTTTTTGTCTATGGTGGGGATGAAAGGGGGTTTTGCATGCTTAGAATTTTTTGATGGTTGGAGCATTTGGGTGGAGTTGGGGATTATATTTTTTTTATGATCGTTAAGCGCAGGCCCCAATGTGCCCAAAACTACCACTCGGCCAGTCACAAACAGCACTATTCAAGACACATTAGTTAATACGTTTCATGACCTTAGGAAGGTTGTGAGCAAGGTCTGGGCACCCTGTTTTAAATTGAGTTAGGTGGGAGAAAGTAAGTTAGGGAGAAGAGATGTCTGCACAACGAGAACAGTAGGGCCCCTCAGTGCTTGAAGTCTTTATTATTTATCATAGGAGCTGCTATATGTGTGATAAAACAGCCACCCGCTGTCACGTGGTGTGTGCTGTAGAGCTGGGATGATTAATAATTACATTATTGAGTTCATTAAATGGATTAGTTGACAAGAAAAACTCATTTGAATCAACTGCTCTTTTTGTAGTTGATTATTTTGGCCCTTTTGAAAATGGCGGTTGCTTCAATAGCCTGCATCCCGAAGGCAGGAAGCCTCCTTTAAGCCACGTCCAGTGTGGGGAAAACATCCCCCCCAATATTCAAATATACTAAAAATGTCCCCCCCAATATATTGCTATAAAATAGATTTCTGTTTTATATGAGTGTGGTTACGGTTGTACTTTATTAATCCCAATCTCTGCCGTTACATACAATGAAACAAGAAAATGTAAAAAAGAAAAAACAAAGCAATGTAATACAATACACTATTAGACATTATTGTTACAAAGAAATAAAAAGTCCATCCTATGTGTTAGCGAATTTTTTTTAATATATTAGGCAGGAAATGGCAGGAAATTTGTTTTCAAATTTAGATTTTTTTCAGGGGGGGACCCCCAGATCCCCTGGAAGATTTCATCCCCACCATGTTGACTCCATGGCTACGGCCTTGCTGTGTTATATTTGTTTCCATTTGACCTGAGCCGCTTGCAAAGTATTGGTGAAAGTTTTGCTTGCAAATTGTTTAAATATTTCCATGGAATTCTGTTTTTATTAGCAGTGTATTGCCTTTCCACTGGCTGAACAGTATGTTGCGAATGTGAAATGCAATATGCATATCGCAGAGCAACATAACAAGCTAAATCATACCCAGCTGTGTTTGTTTCTCATTGGCAAATATACCAGCAATAAGTTGACACCGTAATTGTGCAATCTGTGTAAACCTCTCTGAATCGTACTTTAATCAGCGTCTGAATACATGTTGACAACATATAGCTGCATCCAGCTTGTGTTGTGCGATCTGTGCATAAATTAAATACCAAAATGCTTTGTTCTAGAACAAAGTGTCTGTACTAGATTTGAAGTTTTCGTGACTGCAAGGATCCATACTCTTTGTTCTTTCGGTAAAGTCACGTAGGTGAAAAAAGAAATAACAATAAAAATAGAAATAAATCACGACGTTTCGATTGCAACACAAGCAATCATCATCAGGTGTGATAACCACAGCAAGGATTTTTTTACTGAAGTGGGAAAGACCAGGGTTAGGGCAGTTAAATAAGTCAGAGAGGGGGAGGGTAGGGGGGGTGAATGGTTAATAACATCTTTCCAATGATTGCTCAATTTATATCCGTTCTCTCGGTTGAAGTTATGTCTATGTTTATATATCTGGATGGCTTCATGAACAAATCTTTGATGGTAGCCAGACAGCTGATCATTGCTATAACAGCGTTATCGCAATGATCAGCTATAACGCTGTGGGCTCCCATGATATTGTTTTCTCCGAGACCAAGGTGCTCTGCAAGCCGTCAGGCTACCATGAAAGATTTGTTCATGAAGCCATCCAGACATATAAACATAGACATAACTTCAACCGAGAGGACGGATATAAATTGAGCAATCATTGGAAAGATGTTATTAACCAAGTAAAATGGAACTGTTCATAGTTGTTCCATCTTATTTACCGGGTATTAGTCTATTTTACCGAGTTAATTGCATCCTTAGCGTTTAGCAGTGCGGCTATTCTGCTTTAGATGTCATCATCTATCTTGGCAACAATCATGTTGCCCTTTTAACTCTCAGCGTCTCTTTTGTACCTGCAATTTACTCACCCCTCGCACCATTCACACCCCCCCCCCTACCCTCCCCCTCTCTGACTTATTTAACTGCCCTAACCCTGGTCTCTGTCCCACTTCAGTAAAAATGTCCTTGCTGTGGTTATCACACCTGATGATGATTGCTTGTGTTGCAATCGAAACGTCGTGATTTATTTATTTCTATTTTTACTATTATTTATTTTTTCACCTACGTGACTTTACCGACAGAACCAAAGAGTATAGTGTCTGTATTTTATCAACCAATTTCAAGCATGTGCATGAGCAATTGCTTGCAATTTACATGAGCAATTGCTTGCAATTTACATGAGCAATTGCTTGCAATTTACATGAGCAATTGATTGCTCATGCCACCGTTGGGGAAAAAAAAAGTCCCTTTCGGAAGGAGCTCTTCAGATTCCTCCTACAGGACATTGGCCTCCCCTGCCAAGCTAAAAGACGTGGGAGTCCCGATAGTCTTACCTCCTCCTCACCACCACCACCACCACCACATTGCAACCCTGCTGATCGACGTTTCAGAAACTCTCCCATTGTTTCAACTGGTTGTGCTTGGGAGATTGATTGAACCAGTGGCCTCTTGCAGGGTTTTGACCATTGCACAACAGTAGCGCATGTTATATAATTTATCTATTGCATTCATTAAAGACTAAACAACCCTCCCCACCACACCGCTTCTTTGCGCGTCCTATTGCCAACAGCTGACAAGTCAGAAGGCGGTGTTTGAGCCTTTCCTGTAGCTGGAACAGCACAGGCTTGTCCTATAAGCCCCGAGGGGATTGTCTCCCATGAAAAAAAGCAGGTGTGGCTCTGTAAACGCCTCCCTCGATCCCGTTTGTGGCCTCGCGTGTGATCCAGAGGGTAGATAAGTCTGAAAATAGCCGTGCTGCTGCTGCTGTATCCAGCAAAGCAGACTATTTCATCTTGCCTGAATGGCAACAGGTGTTCACTTGTGCCGTTTTAGGATGTCAGAGTGTGCGCGCAAGGAGAGGTCACACTGCTTTTGTTGAGAGCGAGATGTTGGAAACAGCAGTTGCGGCAGTACAATGTACGGATGTTTAGTCTTAGATCTTTCCCTTTGCGTAATACGATAGAGAGGGAGCGCGGCCAAGGTGACATGGTTGGCATTGCAGAGGTCACCTGTTTCGATTCAATACCGCGGTGCCGAAGGTTGCGGCAATGGTGCAAGTTTCTTAAAATCACGACCTAGTCGATCGTGGGCTCACGTGTAAATTGTTGGTACCCTCGCCTCTTCCGAGACAGCTGATCGGAGTGGAAGAGTAGGCCAAAAACAGTCGAGATGTGCTCTCTCAAGCTCCCTCTCGTGCAGGTGGCTTCGCCAGCAATGCTGTGAGAAAACAATTGTAGGGCAGCACCTTTATCTTTACCGTCTATATAATACACTATTGGATGATATCGAACTGCAGTGGTTTAGTTGTGCACTTTTAAGTTCTGATCCTCTGCATGTCTTGAAGTTCCATTGACTTCGAAAAATGCTTGTTTTTTTAAAATGGGTTTAATAAAGTCGGCGTGAAATGTTCGATACATTGCGGCTCTTCAACGGAAGCACCTAATAATGTCTTTCTCTAGTTTCCACTACACTTTGGCCAATTCGTAATGTTGCAGAGAAGGTAAAAGATTCAAATAACACGTCTTTTTTTCTCCATGTTTCATGGCGCATGAAATAAAGATTCTTTATTAAAGCAGCATTGGCAAATGCGGGCTCTTTTGCTTTGACCCTTTGTCCGATTTTATACACGTTTATGCACGTAACAAATGCGTGAATGTTTCAAAAAAAAAATCTGGTAAGACGTGAAAAAATATATATCTGCTGAGTGGCAGACACTCCCACGAGATACAAAGTGCACACACATTCCGACCTCGGTGTGTTGATATCATGGAATGTGATTATGTTGAGCTAATATATTTATGTTTTCAACTCTGCCCAATGTAACGTACTGCTAGATGGTGAATGTGCAGCGCTGCAATTGCTCACGCCACTGCTGTCAGAATGGCCTCCGCTAGAGGGAGGGCTAGAGGGAGGTCTAGAGGGCCCCTGTCAGAGGGTATTTTGGTCTACTCTTCCACGCTGGTCAGACACCTTTGACAAAATAGGGAGTGCCCACAACTTTACCTGACCTAAATGCCATCTGCTTATTGACGTATATCTGCGGTGTGTCAATTTACACTGCTGTATGGACAGACCAAGCGGGGATTTATTAAACTTGCCCCAATATTTAAACTCCCGTGCCGTGAGATCAAAATCAAACCGGAGACTTGTGAATTGCAAGTTCATTGTGCAAAATGATTACAGCACGCCAGTGTCTCATGCGTACAGTACTCTGTTTATTCGACATCAATATACATGTGCATTACTACTGCAAAAGTTGAAACACAAGATGGTATTTCTGAACGAGTATTTGCGTACAAAACTAAATTGTTGCTTACAAAGGTTCAAGTTGCCATCTTTTTTGCCGTATCATCACGTTGCGGAGTCTAATGCCCTGAAGACACTTCCCAAGAGCAGTAAAATCTCAGGCGTTTGCTGTTCATGGCCGTCCACTATTTGAATGTTTTGCTTTGGTACTGTAACTGTTTGTCAACTGCCTCAGCTGCATTGCTAAACATACCCATTGGTAAATGTGGTGAAGATGCAGCCCTGATATGTCTTGCTCATGCAACTGCTGGGAGAAGGGCCTCAACTAGAGGGAACTCGAGAGAGACCCCTCTGGTTTTGGTAATTGGTCTACTCTTCCACGCTCGCCAGATGTATTGGGCAGGGGTGGAAGTGCCCACATTTTGCTCTACCACATGCGATCTGTCGATCACCTTCATCTGGTATGCTCATTTATACTGGCCACGGTGGCGATATGTTAACTACCTCGCCTGGTATACAGGAGGTTGTGGGTTCAATCCCGACCCTGACGCCTGTATATTTGAAGTTTGCATGTTCTTTCCTCAGTCGCGTTGATTTTTCTCCAGGTCCTCAGGTTTTTCCCTCCACATTTATAATCAACGTAGCGGTTAGAGTATTTGGTTGCAATACTTTCCCACGTGATAAGCCACTTCGTTGAGCTATCATTTGTGGCCACGTTGCTTCTGAAAAAGAGCTATATAGCTCAAGTGGGGGCCTTACCTGGTAAAATAAAACAATGTTTATACAAAGTTTATACTCTTGGGTGGACAGAGGCTGGGGGGGGGGGGGGTTAATATATTTTTTTGTTTCAACTGTCACGCGAGAGATCAAACTGGCGACCTCTGGATTACAGGTCCACTATAAAACCAAAAGCATTTTTTTTATTTTACCAGCTAAGACCCACTGAGCTATATACTGTAGCTCTTTATCAGCAGCGACCTGGCCACAAATGATAGCTCAACAAAGTGACTTATCTTCTTTTTTTTCTTCTTTGGTTCTTTCGGTAAAGTCACGTAGAATGAGAATAAAATAATAAATTGATAAAATAACACGATAAAATTCTCATGACGTTTCGGCCACAACACAAGCGGCCTTCATCAGGTGAAGGGACGAGACTGTCTGGAGGACAGCGCTGGAGCGAACAAAGCCACGCTCAGATCGCGACCTTTAAGCTGACTTTAGTGACAATGTATAGCAGCCAAATCCTCGAAAGGCCTGATTCTAAATGTGGAGAGAAAACCCGGAGGAGCCGGAGAAAAATCCACGCGACCACGGGGAGAGAGACACGCACACTCCAAATATTCGGGCACCAGGGTCAGGATTGAACCCACGACCTCCTGTATACCAGGCGAGGTAGTTAGAATCTCGCCACCGTGGCGCCCACACCAGTATGTTAACCATTACACCACAGCATCATCCCTGAACTTACCAAGAAGTAACCAGGAAATGCCTTAAGCATATTAACTACTGTATTGCATATTTCTTGGGAGCTGGGGGGGGGTGAAACCATAAGAATGTAAAAGTAACTTTTCCAGGATTCCTTTATCGCTATTAGGCTCTACTTACTTGTCTTTTGTTGTTTTATTGCAGGTTAATCAACAACAACCAGATAAAAAGAATCCCCAGAGGAGCCTTCGAGGATTTGGAGAATCTAAAATATCTGTAAGAAGGTCTTGCACATTGTTAAACATTGGTAAACAGTCTTGTAATCGCTGCCACTGGCCTCCAAAAATGTCAACAATTTGTTTGTTTACCTTACGTTCCAGATACAACACCATGGGAATGTGTATCTCAGTTCTAAATGTTTGCTGCTGTTTCATACATTTGCTGAACATTCTATTCGGGCCAGCCAAAACGAACTAGCTTGCTTTATTTTCATGTTGTGTGTTTACGCTGCCATGCGTGGGAAAGGTAAGGTTGAAGCTTCATAAAAAAATATCCACGTGCATGATGATATAAAAAACTATATACGTTTAGAAGTAGGCAATTGTCACTTGTAAACTTTAACGTTTTAGTTTTTTGTCTCCAGCCCTACAATTGTGTTAAACAGCCACTTTAAATAACCCTGCCCCATATCACATTCACTTGCACTGTTTATATTTTTAGAGTAATAACTGGAGTCATGTTGGGCAGAGAAACCTGAGCTGTTAATTATTTTTCTCCTTGTCCACACTTTAGCATTTTTTTCCATTTAAACGTGTTTATTAAAAAATATATACTGCATTATGATCAGCAATATATATGACGTGTGAGATTGCTGTTTTTTCCTGGATTTTTCTGTTTGCGCATAGTCACTTTAAAATGTTTTCTTGTTCATGTTTTTTGTTTGTTGTGGTTGCACACGATTCAAGAGCCGAATGCCTCACAGGGCTATACAAAATAAATGAAGCTGAAAACTGAAATTGTTCTTATTTAAAACATATTATGCTCCTAATAAACATAAATGTTTTGATTATTCTGCACTCAGCCAACGTTGTTTTTCACGAAAGATTCCCAAGTAAATGTAATGTCCATACAAAGTATGACATTGTCTTCAATTACAGGTACATTTTGGCTTAACCAACCGTTGCTTTGGCTTGACAGATTTTAAGGTTACGTTGAGTGTTTTTTTTTCTTTCCAAATAATGTCCAGCTTATTGTTCATCTACTGCTGGATGAAGGCCTATCCCAGGCCCGTGACCATCATAGGGGTTGTTTGACCATACTTCAGCACACTCATCAGTGTAATACTTCTTCAAATGTAGGCCCAGCATCGGTTAGGAAAACGCTTGCCACTGAGATTGAACCGTGACCAGTAATCAAACACAACGACACAATGTGCTAACCACTTTTCCACTGCTCACCCTCCCCCCCTAGATATTTGTACAAAAATGAAATCTCTTCCATTGATCGTCACGCATTCAATGGACTCGGCTCCCTGGAGCAGCTGTGAGTATGAATAACAACAATGGCTTTGATGCCTCACCTGATTACATCCATGCATCATGCACCAAAACAAGTCACCGTCCGTGCAAATGTGTGATTAAAATCAACAATAATTGAGTGTAATACAGCGTTTGACGCGTACGACTGTGTATGCTTGTGTAATTGTGTTTTTTTCTCTAGAATCAGTTGTCTTGACAACATGCATTTCCGTGACATGTCTCTGTACAAGATGGAACAATTTGGCGAATGCTGAATCTGATCATGTTACGGAAGTCGTTGGAGATATATACAACTTTTAAGTCGTAATTCGTTTTATTGTCTATTTTTTAAACTGAAACAAAAAAACCCGCAGTGAATATTAATGTTCCGCAGAGGCAGCAATTACGGTAATTGCTATAATCTGCTTGGGTATATGTTCCACATGCTTACATATTCCACAGGGAATGTGTGGTTTTGGGGAGATTGGCAGGAGCGGATGTAATGACTTTTTGACGAACAACAGAATGTTTATGTACTTTGTCTGAAAATGTCGTGAAGATTTTGTCTCTAGTAAAATGTGCATATTTGGGAAAATGTCTTAAAATATATAAATAAGTGATGACAATCTATGAATTAGATTTACAGCCCTTTGTCATCCCATGATTGGATGAAGGCCTCCCCATGCCAAGTCCGTCATGGGAGTGGCCTTGACCATACTTCACCACGCGTCTGTATGGGTTTGTGACGTGAGATCCGAGGGGCAGTTCAGATATCACTCACAACTGATGTTAGCCACGGCTGGGAGTTGAACCGGGACTACCGGGTTCATAGGGCAGTGCATTAAGCCCACTGCGCTACTTCTCCATCCAATGAAGAAGTAAATAGAGAAATTGCATTTATTTCGAATGATGTAATCGTAGTCCGTTAAATGCAGGTAAGAGCTCATTCTGACCGAAAGTGTATTTCTCAAGGGAAGCCTGTGTTCAGGACAAATCCAGAAAACATAAATATATAAAGTACAAAATGGAGACAAAAATGTTTATATAGTGGTACAATGGCAGTGGAATCACTTATTGTCCCGATATGTTTTCCCCTTAATGGATACCGCAAATACGCGTTAAATACCCCCTGAGCTGCTTCCCAGTAGGCCACGTTTTAACACTGATTGTCAATGCTGTTAACAGCCAGCATCTTATATATAAAACACCCTCATTTGGCAATTTAAGTGACTTAAACAACAGCTATTTGAATTCAGTAATTTTATATCTACACTGTTTAACATTTAATTGTATTCACCACTGATATGTATGACTTACATATTACATTATGGCATTATTTTAACCACCGATTTAAATTTTGTTGGCCTTTACAACGTAATATTTTTTTTTTCAATTTGCGCTATAAACAGTATTTTTACTAGTGTTTTTTGTGCTTAAAAAATACACCTAAAATATACCAGCGTAGTGAAGTATGGTTCAAACAACCCCCACCAAGTGACACGGTGTGGGGAGTCCACTCAGCAGTGGATTGACAAAGTGCTGTAACCCGTTTTATATATAAAAAATAAGTTATTGATTATAAAAGATTTACCTTGCTACGAACTTCTATCATCTGTCATAGCCACTTGTGTTTTAGCATGGCAAATGTCACAAGAGCATGAGGTTTTCAATCAGTTCATCTCAGTCCACAAGTGTGCATATGCTTTGCTCGTTTCATTTGGTATGCCCCTAAGCATTATGCAAAAAAAACCTCTGTAGGATCCCATGTGGATTCCCAAACCTAAAAAGGCTTGTCACAGTGAGATTGCATTTTTCCAAATTTCCTTTGTCCAGACCCCAGCTCAGAACCATAGAGAGAGCAGTGCACATTTTATCCACTAAAGGAACACTCAAGATGTAAAGTCTTACAGGATTTGGCATAGACAGAGTACAGCTAACAATTTATTTTATAGTAAGCAATTTCATACATATTTGTTTCTGTGGCTGTTTCATTACTTGGTTGAATGTTCATTTTGTCTCTTTTGAAAGATGTATTTTAAAAAATCAAATACACAATGTTGGAAGATCGTCCCGCTTCTCAGATACTATTTAATGAGATAAATAGTCTCATCGTCGAAGAGCAACCATGAATAAAACTTGAAATTAAATGTAATGAGAAAAACACAATTTTCAGTTTATTATGTATTTTACGTAGCTTAGAGTCTGTTTGCAACATTGTTGATATATCTAACCCCAGTGCATACAGATATCATGTTTATTATTATTATTACGTTTTAATGCGCTAGTTGACCATTATTCTTTTAAACACTTTTTTTTATCAGCATGTCGAACATTTGTTCCCTCTCTGTTGTATTATTGTGTGTGTAACTAAGCTTGATGTCCAATCTGTGCATAATTACTAACGCACCGACGATTTGCTCACTTGTTTTTGACAGATACATGCACTTCAACCAGATAGAGATTCTAGAACCAGACACCTTTAGCCATCTACCCAAACTAGAACGATTGTAAGTGTGCTTTTCATGTCCACCTCATACGCCGTCAATGTTAATGCGCACCAGCTGCTTTAGCATGCATGCAGATGGCTGATGCTCCCACTCATACTCCTCTTTGCATGTGTGTTTAACACTCATGCGAGCATTCCTAACTCTCCGGTATTAAATTTTGCCATTGGAATCATTCCACAGCTCCTCATTGTTAGCTTAGTTTCCATATCTTTCTTGACCGCACGCATACATTGGATCTGTTACAAAGAAGTACCCACGATTTTTGTTGTAATTAAGTCGTTGGTAAGTTTTTATTTTACTTACATCTCGTCATATAGATACATTGGGACGCTGCCACTGGTTGAATGGTTAGCACACTGGACTTGCGATCCAGAGGTGGTTGGTTTTATTGCATTCTCCAGGCACGGCAATTGAAACAATGGGGCAAATTTCTTAAATCCCCCCCATTAGCCAATCGGCAGGTCGCCTGTGGTGGGGTAAAGTGTGGGTACTCACCTCTTCCAAAGCGTCTGGTCAGCGTGGAAGAGTAGGCCAAATACCCTCTGTAAGGCCTCTAATAAGGCCTCTCTACCACTCCCTCAAGTGGATGCCCCTCCACTATCAGTGGCATGAGCAAGCAAGGCCGTACCTCTACCCTTTAAATAACACAACACACTCGTAAGGCCAAAACAAGACATTACACGCATGCCATGTTCGATGATATGCTTACATTTCGTATAATTATTTTAATTATAATTGACATATTGTTCACGCTTAAATCTATGAATGCCATGGCTGTTATGTTTGTGTGTTCAGCGTTCTATTTGAATACATTTTTTTGTGTACAGGTTTTTGCACAACAACCGACTGGCAAAGATTCCTTCCGGGACCTTTTCTCAGCTCAGCTCGCTGAAGAGGCTGTAAGCGATGCTTGGATTGTGTCACAGCATGCGAAGTTACTTGCGCATTTCTGCTCGCCCCGAATGTAGAACAATCAACAAATGACCGAGCAGATGAACACCCTTACTCGATACTAGTAATGGAAATATAAGAATAGGTTTTACCCTTAAATTTCGATTTAAAGCTTTCGTGACTGCAGGGATTCATCTTCTTTGTCCTTTCGGTAAAGTCACCACGTGGAATGGAAATAATCAAGAAGAGGGTTTACCCTTACTGGCAATTAAACAGCTGTGTTAAGATGTTTAAGCACCAAACAGAAACCTTTAGCAAGGAATCCTGTTACTGCATTAACCACACACAGTACTTGTGGTGAACATGCAAAAAAAAACATTCTCTGATAATATAATATATGGCATTGTCTTTGAAACTGATTGGTCCACACCAGAGACAGCTTTCTTTTGAGCCTAGTCTCAAACAGTGTTAGACCAGAGGATGCCACAAGGCGAACAGCACAAAGACAACGCCACTATCAGGGCATTTATAACTCGGGGTGAGCAGCTACATCGTGGGACATGTCTTGCCAGCTTTCTGTCTGGTGTGGACCAATCAGTTTCAAAGACGATTCATATATTATCAGAGCATGTTTTTTTTTGCATGTTCACCACAAAGTACGTGTGGTTAATGCAGACAGGATTCCTTGCGAAAAGGTTTCTGTTTGGTGATTTCACATCTTACCACCTTTTTTTATTGCCAGAAAGGTTAAAACCTATTCTTTTACCCTTATTCAGCACTATGCCACCAAAAATAGCTTAAAAATTCAGCAAAACACGCCTTAGTGTTAGACCCGAGTTCAGCTGCTATTATTTTCATTTTCCTTTTTAACATATGCGGTGCATGATTAGACAGCGTTGGGCTTGCACGTCATCCAACATGCTGCGCTTCATTACCCGATGACATTGGAGGTGAATGCGACCTTACCTCCGACCCCTTCTCAATTTCAATTCTTCACTCCTTTCATTAGTGTGCCGGGGCAAGGCCTGTAAGAGAGCACCTGTGAAGACGTGCAATACACACGGAGGGCTTCATTATTCGTCACCACTTGGGTCAAATTTGTCTTCCGAAGCACTGCGGCGGTTACTTTTTTTTTTTAGGCGAAGCCTGTGACTAATATGTGTACCAGTTAGATATCAATTACGAATTAAGTTCTATTTCCCACTGGTCCGGTGCATGTTTTTTTTTTTAATATATAAGAACAATTGCTTATCAAAAGTCCAGAGACACAAAATATCAAGTGGGCAATAACAAACGACAGTTGCAGTATCTGTGTATGTCCAGATATGATATACACACACGAACGTATGTGTAAATATGGAAATTAAGCGCTCATTATATAGCGTACAGAGTACGGAGTTGCGTTTTAATTATTCGTATATTGTGTGCAACCGAGTAGACTCGGCACGTATATTTGCGCTCGTATTTATTATTTATGTACGATGCACTTGCCCGTTTGCTGCTGTAAACAAACGACCTATGTTTGTTCTTGTCCACTAGGTAAACACTTCACACACACATATACACACATACACCAGACTTTTCAAAAGCAAATTTCACTTGACGCGCATCAAACCGAGGAAGTGGCGCGCGACCTCTCTGCGCGACACGGGGAAAAAAAAACAACACGACGTCTCGACATTCGCGGCGTCTCATCGTAACTAACCGCAATTAATAACAGCGGAGGTGAATTAACCTTGAATGGGGTCTGGTGTGTGGTGGTGGTGGTGGTGTGTCTCCCATCGCATCTCTTGACTTTGAGCGCTGTTGCCCCTTGCCCCGTGCGTGTCCTTTCGGGCGGCGGCGGCGGTGCAGGAGGCTCGACTCGAACGTGCTCATCTGCGACTGCGAGCTGCTGTGGCTCATGGAGCTGCTGCGCGAGTTCGCCTACCACGGGGCCACGCAGGCGGCCGCCACCTGCGAGCTACCGCGCCGCCTGCAGGGGCGCTCGCTCGCCTCCATCACCGCCGAGGAGCTCAACTGCGCCGGCCCCCACCACGGTGTGGAATGTCGCCCCCCACCCCACCTCCTCGTCCACCCCCCCCCCCTCGTCCCCCACCCTCGTCCCCCCCCCTCGTCTCCCCCCCCTCGTCCTCCCCCACCCCGTCCCCCATGTCTCCCCATCCCCCCCCACCCCCCCCTCGCCCCCCCCCACCTCGTCCCCCATGTCTCCTCATCCCCATGTCCCCTCCCCGCCCCCCTCGTCCCCCCACCCCCCCTCATCCCCCCACCCCTCCCTCGTCCCCCCACCCCCCTACATCCCCACCCCCCTCGTCCCCCCCACCCCGTCCCCCATGTCCCCTCCCCGTGCGCCCCCCCCCCCCCCCCAACGTGGGAATTTTGCTTCGAGCAAATCCTGCTCATCGTTGACACGTGCATTCGCCTTCTGCCAGTCCCTAGGTGTTTTGATGCATTGGGGCACGGCCTATTTGCTTAATCGATATCTCCTCGTAGTGCTTTTCCACTTCTCTCTGCCCGCCGCTGCGTCTTTCAACTGAGACATCTTTCATCCCGCCCAGTGCTTGATGTTTGACGTCCGGTCGGATCGCGGTCTTCCCCTTCCCCCAGTGTTCACCTCCATCACCATTCCCGTGTTAGCCGGTCACCATTCATTCTGGTCACATATCTAAAATGTCACAGTTTCCCGTACGGGAGCAGACGCCACAGCTTTGATCATTTATCTACATCTTATTATTTTGTGCAGAGCTTCCTCGCTCCCGTTGCATGCTCTTTATAAGAACATATTAAGGCTTCTCCAGAAGGCTTTCAATTCCAAAGGCAGCGCTTCCTTCTGCCCTCTTATTCTTCACACGTTTGTTACAAGGGTGAGAGATACATTTCATGGGATTCAGCTGGTAGTGGAGAACAAGCGCAGCCCGAGAGGATGTCACAACACTTATTGTTACCTCTGGTTTATGACGGAAAAAAAATGTTGTCCGTCAATGTTGACGAATATGTCACTTCTCCACGCTCTCTGCTCTGCACATATAAGCTTGCTCTTGGGTTGTGTAATGAGGATGGTGCTGAGGTTTCCTTTTTCATTTTGTTCCCGGTACAATGCAGTGTGAATCAATAATGATGTATTGGCTAAGTTGCTTCTCAAAATATACACGCGTAGAATTAAATGTCTTAAATGTATCAGCAGGTAAGTTCATCTAATAAATATAAGTGAAATGTAATTTGGGAAGAGATTTTCAATACCAATGGAATAAAAAAAAAACCTTCCAGTCTAAATGAACTGATTCTATAAATATTTATTATCATAATTAGAATTAAAATCTCAAGTGGCTTTTCCCCTGTCAAAGTGTATAGCACTGCGTTCGTGTTTGTTGTGAATCTGTTCCCTCTCAGAACGTCCACGGATCACATCTGAGCCTCAGAATGTCGACGTCACTCTCGGCAATGTCGTCTATTTCACCTGCCGAGCGGAAGGAAACCCCAAACCCGACATCATCTGGCTCCACAACAAGTCAGTGTCCACGTGACACCGTGCATCCCCTTTGCTGTGTAACCCGCCCCCATCCCCCGTGCAGATGCCACAGTTCGATGCAGGCAGCTGTGAATAACCTTGTGCAGACAGACACGGGCCGGTAACGTTTTCCATGTGTGCGTTGTGCACGAGTGCATTCTTGGCAGAGAACTTCTTTACTGGCACGACTTTGTGAGCAATAGATGGAGGTTGGTGGGGGGTTAAGAATGGCAGGGCCAAAACCTAACTGGAAGGTCAACTTTGCATTGGTTGGTAGCAGTATTAGCGCAACTATTAAAAGGATTTATAGTGCTGTGTTCAAGACATCATCTAGGTCCATTATCTTAAATACCCGCGGATATATTTATGGCTATTATTATACGAGAACAAAGAGGCTTTCTATTAAATCCGGTGCACGCCCCCTTTCCAACAGCATGTTTTAGAATTTTTTTTTAAATGTTTCCATCGTTTCATCTTCTTTGATGGAAGAAGAAAAAAAACTTGAAAGCACCGTTTCATCGGTTTTCAAGTCTGGTAAAAAAAAAATGCACAATGTAAACCAAATTAATATTTAAAAACGCTTATTACAATTCATTTATTCACTCTAATTAAAAAACCTCGCTTAAGTTATTTACTTTTAAATTAGATTTGCTGAAAACGAGGTATTCGGGAAACATAGAAGTGCAACGCTGCATGGCGCACTGAAACATGAATGCCTGCACTGCGCACCGACCATTGGTTATGAGCACAAGTATTGTACAGGAATTAGCCACACGTACAACGTGCAGGGCCTACTGTCGTGGCCATCGTCGTCGTCATGATTTATTTACACAGGTGCCTGCCATGCACTACATCTTGTGGCACCAGAATAAAATGTGTAGTTGAGATAATTACAAAGGAACTGATTGCCAACTAAATGTGATGTTCAAAAACAATATGGTATGGACAATATGCACAACAAGTGTCCTTTCCACGCACCTCCTACTAGCACGGTTGGCTACATCCAGTGCGAAAGAAGTTCAGCATACGTACGACAAATGAAAATGGGAAAAGTTTTTTAAAAATTCAGCAGTGCTTGAGATGGCTCTCCTTATTGTCCACTTCAATGAAGTTGTACATAGTGCAGGCATATTTTGTGACAGCCGTCCCATCCCCCCCTGCCCTCCCCCATCCCCCACATTCCACTCACTCCACTTAAAAAGCCTCTTGGCCATGAATGAACAGCTCGCACGTGTCGGTCATACTGCGATGGACTTTTCTCCGGCGCGCTCTCTCTCTCCTTTGGCTGCCACTTTCGCTATTAATCTGCGCCACCGCTTGTCATCGCTTTTCCCAAAAACGAGCCCACTGATTTTATATTTATATTTTAAATAAAAGAACCCGGTACGGAGCACGAGTGGCAGCGGGGGAAGGGGGGGGTGCACAGATGTTTCCCGTGGACGACAAGCCCGAGGCCAGGTGGTCACGGGGCAGGGGAAGGTGGCTGGGCTCACTGCCCTACTACTCACATTGGGGGCAACGTTCGTGAAACGTGGTATTTTTAGGAGGGGGGAGGGTTGTAAAATGTATCCAAACAGAACCGCAAAATAAAGTAACACGCACGGTGCCGAGTGAGCCTGCCGTTATTGCGAGTCCCCTGGGGCAGTGACTACCTCGTGCCCATCCATGGACTGGTATGCCAAAAGTCCATCCCTCTACCCCCTCCCGCCAGTATTTTTTTTTATTATCGTTGAATATTAAACGTCCCCTAACGCCCACCGCCTTAGCTTGAACGAAAATAGCAAACCATTCTTGGAAAGTAGCTGTTAACTTGTGGAAGGAGGCACCCTCTGTGCTCAGTTATTTGCTGGAGGCAATTTTGGCTAAAGCACAAGAGAAAAAAAACCACCTAACGTTAGAACTTAAAACTGACAGCTGCCGCGGGTCTTTGTTCAAAACTTTAGAAATTGCATTACATTCAAGGGTGACACTGTCTGCATACATAATTAAAAGTATTGGGATGTTCCAACAATAGACTCCATACGCACCTTGATCGAGCATGTTATGCAATGTTGTGACACACCATTAGCCAATAGGAGGCTACTTAGCCCTTCATTAGTATATTCCTTTGCATGGTAGGTATGCATGCCACAGCCAGCACCACCTTACTCAAAGTAATGCTTTTATTTATTTTACCAGGTAAGGCCCACTGAGCTACGTTGCTCTTTTACCGAAGCGACCTGGCCACAAATGATAGCTCATCGAAGTGGCTTATCGCGTGGAAATCTACAGCAGCCAAATAACTCCCTAAAGGGCTTTCATGCCCTACCAGGGAAGTGCGACCCATGGATTGAGGACGGCTGCTGCTATAGAGGCGCTCGCTAATGTGAAACGGCGAGGACACTTTCTTAGCCTTTTCCCTCTTTTTCTTTTTTGCCGTGGCTGAGCAGTGATGAGATCGACATGTCTATGGAACGGATGAATCTGCTGGAAGACGGCACCCTCATGATAAAGGACACCCAGGAGTCAGATCAGGGAGTCTACCAGTGCATGGCCAAGAACCTTGCAGGGGAGGTGAAGACTCAGGAGGTGCTGTTGCGATACTTCGGTGTAGCCGGTGAGGGTCTGCGCCAAGCGTAAAGTGTGTGTGTGGTTTCCCCCCCCACCCCCCCTGCGCAAGTGCATTAATGCAATTGTGAGTGAATCTACGGGCATCTGGAGTTTCCCTGACAAGTCATCGATGGAGTCGATTAATTGCCTAAACATTGCAATCGACTACTTTGTATGTGGCTCATTACTTGGGCGCCACTCAATCTCACGGAGATTGAGAAACTCCAGAAATGCCACGCCCAGCGTGTGATGTCGGCTGACGATGTCGGCTGACGATGCCACCGAGCCCTGCCCCGTGAACCTCCTGTCTAGCAGTGCACATGGGGACAGGTGAGACTCTTCGTGTCAAGTATTTTCATGTTTTCCGCTTCGTTGAGTAATGGAAACGATAATCGGTGGTCACCGAATTGCTTTTTTTGAGTGGATAACAAATCCAAAATTACATCTTTCACCTGCTGCTATGAATCCATGCGATGGAAGACGACCAAATTCCGCAAATAATCGCATTGCCTAGCTCTAAACTATAGACTGTATGAAACAAAGAATCAGATAGGATCCTTGCCATCCAATGTACATGCAATAAAATAGTTCTTGGTCCTGTTTGCACACACAGTCACGCGAGTGTGTTTTTGTACGCGTTTTAAAACAGGCTCAATCCCCAGCGAGTAACTCTTCAAATTTGCCAAGATTATTTGGGGCAGGACAAGCAAAGGAGGACTTGGGTAGCAGCAGTTACCCAACCGTATTCTTCTTCCTTCGTATGGTGGTTAGTTGATGAACAATGTTTTCTATATTCTTGGTTCTTTCGATGAAGTCACGTAGAAGGGAAACAATAAGATAATAAAAATATAAAACAATAAAATTATCACGAGGTTTCGACTGCAACACAAGCAATCATCATCAGGTGTGAAAGCCACATCTAGAAAATTTGAAAAAAGTGGCTGTGGTTTTCACACCTGATGATGTTTGCTTGTGTTGCAGTCGAAACGTCGTGAGAATTTTATTGTTTTATATTTTTATTACTTTATTGTTTCCATTTTACGTGACTTTACCGAAAGAACCAAGAATATGAATCCCTGCAGTCACCAAAGCTTTAAATCAAAATGTAACGTTTTCTATGTTCGTGTGGAGGTTCGCGAGTGAGCCAATGGACAACTTCAGGAGTGGCTCGGCGAATGTTTGAAACGCTGCCGGCGAACAGTCCAAGCGGGCAGCGACATTTACTTTGCGGTCTATAGTTTGAGACCGGTGGCCACATCTGCACTACTGTGGGCTATTCTCAAACGTGTATTCGTTTAAGAAATAGCCACATTCCGGTTTAATACAGACCATTGCTTTTGGGATATATTTTTATACGGGAAAAGTTCATCCGTGGAGGTCTGCGATTCACGCATTCGTGATGGACGCTGGGCATTGTCCCCAGGTTTGTTCTCCACTCTACATCAGGATTTTTCACGCGGCCTCTCTGAGAGCTCGCACTCAATCCAAATGTGGGTTGCAGAACCAGCGGTGGCAAGCGCTCCTTGGCACCACCCCCGTGGTAGTCGGCCCGGCCTGACCTGAAACTAAACAAAACTTGGAACCTCCTTTGTCAGTAGCAAAACATGATAATAGTTTTTTTACCCTTTTATCTGGCAACAAAACTGACACCTTTTTTTACAAGGAGTCATGTTTGCATTGACCACAATACCTGTGGTCGGAATGCAAACAAAAAATATAACTCTGATAATGTGTGCACTGTCCTTGAAATTGATTGGTCCACACCCGAGACAGCTTTCCTTAGAGTCTCCTGCGTACCCGGCGAGGCATTTCACATCTCGTCATCTGGTCCAACACCACGTCAGACCATGTGGCGTCATCTGGTCCAACACCACGTGAGACCATGTGGCGTCATCTGGTCCAACACCATGTGAGACCATGTGGCGTCATCTGGTCCAACACCACGTGAGACTAGGCTCTAAGGGAAGCTGTCTCGGGTGTGGGCCAATCAATTTCAAGGACAGTGCATACATTATCAGAGTTATGTTTTTTGTTTGCATTCCGACCGAAGGTATTGTGGTCAATGCAAACATGGCTCCTTGTAAAAAAGGTGTCAGTTTTGTTGCCAGATAAAAGGGTAAAAGAAAAATTATTATTATGAACAAAACTTCTTTGTATATTACCAGGTAAGGCTCACTGAGCCTGTATTGCTCTTTATTAGAAGCGACCAGGCCAAAAATTATAGCTCAACAAAGTGGCTTATCACGTGGAAATTGAGTGCGGCCAAGTACTCTGAACGCGCACATTGATTCTAAATGTGGAGGGAATAACCGGAGAACCCGGATAACAATCCACACGACCACGGGGAGAGAAACATGCAAACTCCAAATATACAGCAGGTGTCAGGGTTCGGATCGAACCCACGTCCTCCTGCGTACCGGGCGAGGCATTTCACATCTCGCCAGACCGCGGCGCCCAATACGAAACGAGGGTCGTGTCTTGTGTGGGCGCAGCGCGACCCAGCTTCGTCATCCAGCCCCAAAACACGGAGGTGCTGGTCGGTGAGAGCGTGACGCTGGAGTGCAGCGCGACGGGGCACCCGCAGCCTCGCATCACGTGGACGCGCGGGGACGGCGGCCTGCTGCCCTCTGACCCGCGCTTCGCCATCACGCCCTCGGGGGGGCTGTTCATCGAGAGCGTGGCAGAGGCCGACGGCGGGCAGTACACGTGCCACGCCGACAACAACCAGGACGCCATTCAGTCCACGGCTTTCATCATCGTGCAGGGTAACGAGGGGCACGGCGAACCGCGGGCTTGCGGTCCGCGCGCGAATCGCGCGTCTTCTTTTTTGCTGTGGCCTGATGATGCTGGTTGTAATCACCAGCGAGACGTCGTACTGGAATTGCGAATGTTGTGGGTTTACTCTCCAGCACACCGGTGTGCTGAACTTGTAAGCAATTGGCATATTTTGTTTACATGACAGACCTTACTAATTGGCTGTAGTGGGTTTAATGACGCATTTATATATACTCGATCTCACCCGAAACACCTCTATTTTGGATGTTATTGGTTGCAAAAGCCTACGTGTTTAACCACGCAGCTTCTCTCCATGGAGAATGTTCATGAAGGGCGAATGTCACCTTTTGAAAACCTTTTCTACTGGACAATATGTGAAAAAGAGCTTTTGCTCATTGGATTCCTCCTGTATACATATATTTTCTGGTTCTGACAATACTTACGTTATCACAGGTATGTGACAATGTCATTATTCTGCAAAAGTATTGCAAGACCGCTCTTTGCCAATGACATCTTATATTTCAGCAGTATTTGTTTACCAAGCCTCACTCTGTTTATTAGATCCAGAAGGTCAAACCAGTCCGGAGTTTTGAAACAAGTTCTGCTTGATTAGATCGTTCTTTAAAGCCAATCGGCTGATGGACTAAAACTTACTTTCATGAATATGAGAGACGGAATGGAGTTCAGTTTGTTATACACGAGTTGTCATATGTGTTCATTGTATTACACATACCAGTGTAAGCAATGTTATTGGTTGCCTTGCAAACATTTTGTAATTCTAAGTCTACATGTACACCCATGCATAATGCTCCATACAATTTGCGCATCTTATTTCCGTGGGCGATTCAGGGATTCTGTTCCACTTGTGTGTGGCACGTTATGAATATGGTCATGATAATGGTTGATAAGGATGTATGTACGTTGAACTTCTTTCGCTCCATACTGTGTTACTCGGAGGTGCGGCAGGGAAAGAACAAACGAACTAAACATATAAAGAAGTGAGCTTTCAATCTATGATGATAATGATTGATAATGACGATTATGACAATAATTATTGTGATTGCTATCTGCAGCTGCCCCTGAGTTCACCGTGACTCCTCAGAACCAGCAGGTGGTGGAGGGGCACACCGTGGACTTCCACTGCGAGGCCGAGGGAAGGCCTCGGCCCGTCCTGGCATGGACCCGAGCAGGTGCCCATCCACACCGCTCACTCGGAGGAGGCCTCACAGCGGGCGCGATGTTGACCACCTCGCCTGGTATACAGGCGGTCGTGAGTTCGACCCCGACTCTGACGCCTGTATAATTTGTAGTTTGCATGTTCTCCCCGTGGTCGCGTGGATTTTTCTCCGGGTCCTCTGGGTTTTTCCCTGCACATTTAGAATGAACATGCAGGTAGAGTATTTGGCTGCTATATACATTTCCATGTAAGCATACACTTTGTTGACCTATCATTTTTGGCCTGATCGCTTCTGAAAAATAGGTTAATACCTCATTGGGCTTCGCCTGGTAAGATAAAACATAGTTTAGTTGTATTTGTATATTTGATTGAAATGATTTGTTTATCTTTCCTATACTATGCACTCCTATTCTATTAATTGTCATTGGAACATTCTGAGCCGCCCCCACGGGGCATCTGTGATTCCTCCAGTATGAATAAATATTCTCACGATTAGTGGAGGCCCTTCCGCCAGCAGAGGCGCGTGCGAGCAATCCGAGGAGGGCTGCCCCCCTTTTTTAACCTTTGTTACCGAAACGAAGGGGGGGGGGGGTAAGCGAAAGGCAACCACCGAGGTGGACGCTAGCTTGTGTCGGCCGAACGAACGTGACGCGCCGCTCATCTTCACAGGGGGGCCTCTGCCCAACGACCGGCGCCACGCGGTGCTGGCGTCCGGCTCCCTGCGCATCTCACGCGTCGGGCTGCACGACCAGGGCCAGTACGAGTGCCAGGCGGTGAACGTGGTGGGCGTGAAGCGCCACGCTGTGCAGCTCACCGTGCAGCAGAGAGGTGGGGCCTCGTGTGGCTGACACAACCCCCCCCCCCCCCTACAAACACACCCCATGCCCCCCCCCCCCCCCCCCCCGACACACCCACTGAGGTTGTGCTCTGCCTGCTGGCCATGGTAGGGATCCTTCGTCTGTGGCTTGACATCTTTCGCTGGTTTGTGGCCATAATGCGTTATTTGATTTGGTGGTGAGATGTTAACTACTTCGCCTGGTAGACGGGAGGTTGTTGAGTTCGATCCCGGCCCTGACTCCTGTATATTTAGAGTTTACGTGTCCTCCCCGTTGTCGCGTGGATTTTTCTCTGGGTCCTCCGGTTTTTCCCTCCAAATTTAGAAACATGCGTTTAGAGTATTTGGCTGCGATACATTTCCACATGATAAACCGCTTCGTTGCACTATCATTTGTGGCCAGGTCACTTGTGAAAAAGTGCTATACAGCTCAATGGGCCTTACCTGGTAAAATAAAAAAGTATAGTTTATAGTATTAGATATGGATTTTATGAATTGTGTGTATATACCACGTATACATTTTTCACATGAAATATGAGGCTGGCTTTCAGATGCGTTTTCTGGTCGTGCTGATGCGGTGGACTGCAACGTGTCCGACGTTTCACTCCACGTGCTGGAAGCTTTTTCAAGAAACTGAAATCACTCCTGGCTCGAAGGAGCGAAATGTCGGACATCGTGCCCGACAACCCCGGAAACATGCTGGAGAGCTTCACAGCACAATCGTGAAAACCTATCTACAATATGTAGCAGTGTCATGAGGCTCTATTCAATTTGGCTTTAGAATTGGGACCTTATTCAATGTATACACCACGTGTGGGTATTTTATGTCTATCTGTCATGTCTGTCTTTTTTTTTCATACAGTCTTGTTTAAATAATATTCATTGTTTATACATGTGGCAATGGGGGAAGAGCGTTGGCGCATTGGTTAGCTCACTGACTGTGAACCAAGTGACCTAAGTCCGATTCACGGCCATGGCTAACATCGGTAGTGAGTGGTATCTGATGAACAGGTCCTGGGCTACCCATTTTCACTAACCTGTACGGGACCAGAATGGTGACGCATGGTCGTACAACCACCCATGACTTCGCCTCTTGGGGAGGCTTTTGTCCAGCAATGTCTTGACAAAGGCCAGCAGATGTTTTTTTTTTTATACGTGTGGAAAATTGTAACCGTGCATAATTATCTTTTTACTTTGCAAATAAGAAAAAAATACGAATTTGGCATGCATAACATGTGTCGTGTACTAATTCAGAGACACGAGTAGGAGGCGTTACCCCTCTTGTTCATTCCGGCTCTCACAGCCATAGGGGATAACTCCGTACCGGGTCGGGACAGCCAACACGCTTCCAGACCCACAGCTTGAAGAGGCGAAGACCACGACGACAGCAGCACGACGAGTTACATTCCCGATGGCAGCAGCCCCGACTGGGAGTCGGAGCTCGCCTTTTATTCTCCCCACCATGGCCAGGCTCCGCCCTCGGCCACGCCCCCTTCTGGATCCCCCAGAAGGCTCCGGGCTTGGCCCACGGGTCCAACTGATAGAGCCGGCTGCTACCTCCAATCCCATTGTCTCTCCGCGCCACGCGCTACAGTGACTCATTCAGTGTCACTACACATGCATTAAGTCTTCTCCTCTTATCACTTGGTGTGCCTCTGAGGTGCATATTCATCATCATTTGCCTACTTTGACTTGAGTTGGATGGAGCGCTGGGAACACAAAAAATCTCCGTCTGAAAATCTGAATATTAACCATGCGATATCATCCTGTCCGAAGCGCATTACCATGTACGCCACACGCGCACCACACCACAGCGGTTTGTTTTCGGGTCTTCCTTGACAGCCAGCTCCTCTGGGGGGTGGGGTGGGGGGGTAACATCGAGGTGTGGAGGTGTAGGGGTCAGGGCAGGCCTCGGTCTTACCAAGGGGGCTTAACAACACACCCACTCGCATGTATGCCAATGTTAATTCCGTCAACATTGTTTATTTCGGGTATTTTTTTGTCTCATCGACTAAAGTGGCTTCATTTCGAGTTCAGTCTTAGTTCTTCAATATTGGTGTGAGAGGTTTGAAATTTCCCTTCACAGCTATTATGATCAGGGCGGCAAATCCATGAGCGTGGTACAGTAACATTTTTTTACTTACCTCCATAACCAATTAACACGTTTTGTTTTCTTCACTTCACTCGATGTACGTATGTTATATGTATGTTTAACTTCTTTCGCACAGTACGTAGCCAACCGTGCTAATCAACACGTGAAGCACTGCAGCTTGTAGTCTGTCGTGCGTTTTGTCTTCGGTGGGCAGCGGTATTCATCGTCACGCTTTGATGATGATCATAAAAAATGTTCACTCCACTCAGTCGTCGTTTGCTAAAACAGAATAAATTCACTCGGTTTATCGTATTTCTCGTCACCCATTGCGTTGACGGAATCGACGCCGGCATGCGTGCTCGTCGTAGCAAAGCCGCTCGCCGTGAATGCTCGCGTGTGTTGCAGTCACCCCGGTGTTCACGACCTCCCCCACGGACGTGGCCTCGGTGGCCGGCAGAGACGTGCAGATCCTGTGCAGCGCCCAGGGGGAGCCCACGCCGATCATCACGTGGAGCAAAGTAAAATCGTCGTCACCCGCAACCGTCGGCACTTTCCGTTCGGAGATATTAACCCCCGCCGTTGGTTTCGTTGCAAGACGGATGCGATAACGGATTAACGGATTGGGGCGTCTGTCGCCGTTTTACGCGCCACCACGGTGGCGTCATGGTCAGCACAGTGGGCTTGCAATCCAGCGGTCGCCGCCGGTTCGGTGCGTGTCAGTTGAAACGACGGGGCAAGTTTCTTCAATCTCCCTGACCCCGTCCACCCCCAGCAATACAAAATGGGGTACACCACCACGGTGTTTATCGGCAGATCGCGTGTGGTGGGCTTAAGTGTGGGTCCTGCTACCTGGCGAAATATGAACGAGAAGGTGGAAATACCCTCGAGAGTGGCCAGGGCTTCCTTTAGTGAAGACCCTTCAGCCGGCAGTGTCATGAGCAAAACATTTCAGGGCTGCGCCTGTACCTTCCCCACTGAGCAACGACTGCTCTTCTTGCTGGCCTGCGCACACAGCTGTACAACATCTCCTCTGTCGTGCGGTCGTGTACAAAGCAGGGTTTTTTTTTTTTTACAGTGACGTATGTATGTATGTATGTTGAACTTCTTTTGCACCTCAAGTAGCCAACCGTGCTAATCGGAGGTGCGGTAGCAAGGACAAACAAAACACAACGCAAAAAGCGGTTCTAAAGATCGGTAACTGCCGCAACGTTGCTCTGATCCAAAACCTCCCCCGTGGCCCAGGACGGGGTGCAGCTGACGGAGAGCGGGAAGTTCCACCTGACGTCCGAGGGCTTCCTAACCATCCGGGACGTGGGACCCGCCGACCAGGGCCGCTACGAGTGCATCGCGCGCAACAGCATCGGCCACGCCTCCACCAACATGCTGCTCAGCGTACACGGTGACGCTGGGCACCCCCCCCCCCCCCACCGCCCGTCACCTGCCCACCTCCCATCCCATTTCCAATCGGAAGTCGAAGGCGGTTTTCGTGCTCCAAGTGAGCACTTTTGCACCGCTCGTGTCTTATTCATTATAGTCCTGAGCCGGCGTTGGAACGTCCGTATTCCTACAGCGGGGAAGAGGCAATCCATAGGGCAACCACGGTAAAATTTTCTACAAAGTGGTACTCGTTTTATAGATTCCCAGAGGGATGGATGGTGGTCTGAGTCAACCCTACTCGCTTTGCAACTGAGCCACCTAGTCCCGCCCGTGGCAGCTAACCCTGCTATTCTCTCCTTTTCCCATGGGAGAGCATGACCCCACACGACGCTGTCACATGACCTTGTTTAAAGGGGGAGGACGTGCACAAACTCTGGGGGGGAGGGGAGGGGGGTTACAACACAGTCAACGTTAAGCTTTGTAGAGATTTCAAACGATAAATAGAATGTGTAATGTGATATGCATTTGTCTATCATGCATTCTGCTCGACCTCTCACCCCCCCCCCCCCCCCCCGTGTGTATGAACAAAGGCGGAAACACCTATTGCTTAATTGTGATATTTTTGGCATTTTGTCCTTGTGGTAAAATCAGCATTGCCATATTAAGCATTTTTCTCCATTTAACAAAAAACTGAGCTGAATCGAGTTCTCGAAGCAGCGACGAATGTATAAATGCGGATTCACAAATTATAAACAGCACACCGAAACAGGATACGTACATTAATTGAAAAATGCGTATGTATGAATGATATATGAGGGAAATATATATATGTGTGTAGGGCCACAATGATGAGTTTTGCCTGCAGGTGTCTTGGGGTTGCTGTTACAGTAGCTGCCTTTAATTTTTTAAAGAAAGAACTGAAGCAGCCATTATTGAATTGTCAACGTGAAGGATTGCATTGGGGTTTGCCAAGCATGCCATAAATAAATGTACTTTCACACGTAAAACCACGTAGCAACATTTAAGAAGAAGTTTTTTTTTTAAAGTCGGTTTGGTACAGCTTTAATGAACGTGGCGCATATTCCTGTGTGGTTTTTTTTGTTTTTCCCGGAGAGTAATGGCTCTTTGAATGGGCATGCAGTCGAGCTTCGCTAACGCTATCCGACGTGCTGCATGTGGTGCTTTGGTGGCTAGGCACTGTTTTTTTTTCTCTCAGCTGTCCTTAATTCTCTCCCTGTCCTCTGCTGATACAGATAAAGATCACACGTTTACGGTGTCTGGTGGGCGACCAAAAGGTCTCCGCTTGTAACCAGACGTGGAATTAAAGCATTGTGTGTGATATACAGCGCTGTGGCATGTGTAATTAAGCCTGCAGTCCATGCCTCTGAAGGGTAAAGCTTGCGGATCTCTGGGGCAAAGCACAGTGCTGCGGATCAGCAATACCGATCGCCTGGGTTCTTATTTTATTCATGAAACATTTATAGAATTTGCTGTAATGGAGAAGTCTCAGCCGTTTACTGTTGCGACGAAGAAATGCTTGGTCATCTTATCCCAACTTTGTACCGATTGTGCTGTCAACATCGTGTAATGAGATGAAGTATTGATTCGGATCCCTCACAGAGCAGAGAACCTCTTTATTGAGAATGGCCCACATAATTGGATATCGCAGAGTTACAGCTGATATCCCCTCAAGTGGTCCACACAATCGGGGTGCAGCACTTTTCCACCTGTTCAGCATATATGGCATAGATTTTGCTTGAGTCTTAAACGTGTGACAGCTACATATATGTGTGACATGTTGCAGCAATCATAAAACATGTAATTACGTAAACAATGCAGCATTTTTATTTCCATAAAACATTAGGTTATGTAGGTTTGTGTCTTGCGGGGCAGGGCAAGTGAGTTCTGCGTACCTACATGCCTGTCGTTTTGTTGTTTTCCTCTCGTTCTCAGGCTAGTTTAAAGCAAAGGCTGCTTGACCGTTTTACAATGATAAATATTTGTGCTGTTTTCCTACTTAGTCCCTGAGGGGAATCGCACGGGAGACTCCTTCGTCGAATCATCCATACAAGAAGCCATTTTTAGCGTTGATAGTGCCATCAATTCCACCCGCCGAGAGCTCTTTGACAGGTGAGCGCAGCATCTTATCCCGTTTGTTTCGCGTTGGTTTTTCTTTTTGCACACAGTATTGAGAAACGGAGTTGCATCTCTACGTCTGACTCGCGTGTATTTGTATTGCTCTTTTAAAATGTTTGTGCGAGAAATACATCCTGTTAATGCACAATAGGCATATACACCAGTCAGAAAGCGGGCACGGAGGCCATTGTAAATTTTGTTTATCGGTGCATGTTCAGTGGCTGTTTTTGACAAATGAAGTAAAAACATTTTTTTTTTTATGCAAGAATTATTTTGCCTTTGGGACATTTAATCGTTCAAGTGTAGGAAACCACCACTATTAAATTACATTTTTTGCATCGCACAGTAGAATAAAGTATGCATATAAATGTATAGATATGCATTGTTAAAAGTTTTATGTTTTTTTCTCATCTGGCAAAAGGAAAAAAATCCTTTAGAGATTTAATTTCATTTAGCATGCATGAGAAATGCCAACCATTCAAAGGTTAAAGCAAAATGAAAAGAAAGCTGTACAAAAAATCCAATTCAAGGAAAAGCCAGGCTGTGCCGAATAAAAGGTTTCGGGAGTCGAGCGTAATTAAAATCAATGTTGGAGGTGGCCAGGGTCTATTTGGCCACTGGATTCGTTAAGTCTCCCGCGCGGCACGTCTCTCTGCCGCTCAGGAATCCTCGGACTCCCAATGACCTGCTGGCTTTGTTCCGCTACCCGCGGGACCCTTTCACGGTGGAGCGGGCCCGCGCCGGAGAGATCTTCGAGAGGACCCTGCAGATCATTCAGGAGCACGTCCGCGGTGGCCTCAAGGTGGACATGAATGGCACAGGTATATGTTGGCCTTGAACGCTGCTCGCTGTTCAACTCGACAATCCCGGTCAGTGGGATGCCTCTAAACTGCTCTTCGGATAGAAAGCAATCGGGTAATAATACTCATTGTGATGATGATGATGATAATAATAATTATTTAGCCTCGCTGGGTCTCAAGACTTGTTTGCTTATGTTCAGCCAATTCCTTGATTGTTATTGCGTATAAAAGGTGATTGCCTAGCCAGAGAAAGCGCTCGCACAAGCAAGAGAACACTCCAATTTGGAGGCCTATCATAAATCTACTTGCTGTACTGCCTCATACGGAGCGCCTAGTTGGCCTGCATTCGAGTGCCTCATGCATACGATAGCGCCACCTTTGCATAATTCACCAAAACCTAAGTCACTGTAATACGGGCAGCATTGACTTACCAATCCTGTATAAAACAATTATATAAATAGAAATGAGTTTTTTTTTAATAGGTGTTTACTCACTATAGTTTGCGTGTGTGTATTTAAAAAAAAAATATAAGCCATATTTTGTTAAATCCATTTAGCATTATCAAAACTGCAACCAATTAAAAAAAAATAATTGGAAAGGCAAAGGTGCAGTCCTGTGATTTCTTGGTCATGCCACAGTTGGCAGAAGGGCCTCCACGAGAGGGAGCTCTAGAGAGGCCCACGGCAGGGTATTGGCCTACTCTTCCATGCTGTACAGATATCTCGGTAGAGGTTGCAGTACCCACACTTTAACCCACCGCCACGCAACTTGACGATCAACTGACTGGTTCTACCCCTCCATATTGTCGCACCGCAGGACCTCTAGATCTTAAGTCCAGTGCGCTAACCATTACAAAGATAAAGACAAAGATCCCCCGTATAGCCTGTAACAGACTGTAGGGGCAAGTGCTGTTAGCGAGCACCTATGAAGGCCGGAACAGTACACAAGGGGGTGGGTGGCCAGCACCACGCCCGACCGCCTTTGTCTCCCTAGTTGCGATGTTTACACACCGCACCAGATACTCATTTGAGGCTGAGTCGACCTAGGGGAGGCCCGGGACCGGTTCAGATAATCGTCACTGGTGTTGGCCGTGAGCGGGATTCGAACCCGGATCGCCAGGTTCATAGCGCAGCGTAGCGCTAACCGCTACACTATCGCTCCCACAAACCATTACACACACACATCATCCATAATTTATTTTAAATATGCGCTTTCATCTGTGTAACTACATGGGATCGCGCGTAACTTGCTCGGAAAACTTTCCCTCACGTGCAGCAGTAAAAATTCCCCTTGTGCTCCAGTCATTTCCCTGCACAGAGGAAAGCTGCACAGAGAGTTTTTTGTTTTGTTTTAACAACCGCGGCTACTTCCAGCAAAAGCCTCAGCGCTGGCACAAACGCGTCATTGTGCACCTCCTCCTCCCCCCCCCACCAATTGAGAATAGGGGGGCCCCCAACGCTCGGCACGTACACGGCACAGCAAGGGCTGAGCCAAGTGTCCACACAATTAACGTGCTGCTGCTGCTGCTGCTTGAGAACCCGCAAGGGGTGTGCTGCGTGGTGACACGGCGACACACTGGGCAACACCGGAGAGGCCTGGTCCTGCTTGTCGGCGATGAATCTTGGGCGCGGAAGCGAGTGCATTAGCACTGGATCGGCCCTTGCGTTTTATCCATTACGTGTGCTATTGGGGGGACGCGCAAGGTCAATGTAATAGGTGAGGTGGGATTTCTAAGGCAATTTCTTACAGTAATTGCTAGTGCTGGGGAGGAGTGGAGGGGGCAGAGGGACGCTGAGAGAGTGCGGCTGCCGGCAGTTGTTATTTCTCGGCAGAGCCTGTGAACGTATTGGCTGGACAAGTGTCCTGGAACACGAGTAGGTCTAGAAAAGCCATAATGAAAGGTTGTTTGGCTGCCTCACTTCCTTTCGGTTGCCTCATCATCGTCATTCGTTGTGTCTTTTATGGAGTTGTATGTATGTTGAACGTCCTTCGCACCATACGAGGCCCACCAATCGGAGGTGCGGGGGAAGGACAACAAACTAAATACAAAAGCTGTTCTAAAGAAATGGGTTTTCAATCTAGATGATTTAAAAGTGCATTATTCCTGTGGCTTCCTAATATCGGGAGGAAGAGCATTCCAGACGACCGCAGAAGCGCATCTGAACGCGCGCAATGTGGTGACCAGTCTTTGTTTGATGGCCAGCTAAGAGCCGCTGTGAGGATGATCGGAATTCACGTGATGGTTTCTGCTCCCTGACGAGATCAGCAAGGTATTGTGGTTCATTTGTGGCAAGCACTTTGTGTGTAATGAGTGCGACATTATAAATTGATTGTCAGCTGTCAAGTACAGGCGTGCTCCTGCATGTAGCCAAGATCAGAAGTAGAAGCCGTCTTGGCACTCGGATTTATCGAAGCGCACTCTGCAAGGACACACTATGACGAGAGAGTTGTCCAGGATAACCTGGGGCATTAAATCGCTGCCACGCTTCGGATCTTAGAAAATATGCTTTAGTTTGGCTGTTTGAGCCGTTGACGTTCACATTGAATCGTAAGAATCCTAAACGTTTAGCATGTATGGATTTCACGACCAATGTTATGATTGATTTTTGATTCGGGTTGCTCAAGTAAAATGTGTATCGTAAACTCTCCTCCACCCTAATTCTAGATTTGAAGCGTGACTTTACCGAAAAAAACAAAGAGTATCTCCTCCACCCACCAAAGGCAACGAATAATGTCGTCACGTGAACAAACGTACAAATGTATTACTGCCCATGTGCTGAAGTGGTAGTAAACGTCACCTGACGGGTTCAGTGATGACGTCGTCCTGCACTATTTAAGACTGGAAGCAGGAGGATGGCTTCACTATTCTGGCAAATCGCCCGACGATGCTGGTTGATGTAATTACCAGCGAAACGTCGTACTACTCAAATTGTAAATGTTGTGGATTTACTCTCCAACACACCGGTGGGCTGAAGTAGTAACTATGTGGCGGTTTGTTTACGTGACAAATCCCTTACTAATTAGCTGTGTCGGGTGGTGGAGCGTTACGACACATTTGTGCGATCTAACCCAAAAACCTTTATTTTGAAAAATATTGGTCTCGAAAGCCTACGTGTTAAACAAACTGCCCACGTTTGATTCACGTGGCAGCTTCATTAATTGGCCATCAGTGGTGTGAGCAGGCATTTCCTGGGTTGCACCTTTACCTGTTGCGGCCACGGTACATGGTTTGCAAGGACAAAACAAGGTGTTATGTTTTATGGCAGAAGCGACTTGAGCAAGCAATTCCAGGTGCTCTAACCTTTACCCCTTTTGACCTTTTAAACGTATGAGCATCTCCCCGCGGAAGAAACAACGACGAAAGCCGCATCTTTCACTGTGAACTCTCCGCGTTGTGCAGCCTACAACTACCACTACAACAACCTGGTCTCTCCCTACTACCTCGACCTCATCGCCAACCTGTCGGGCTGCACGGCCCACCGCCACGTGCCCAACTGCTCCGACATCTGCTTCCACCGGCGCTACCGCACGCAGGACGGCACCTGCAACAACCTGCAGCACCCCATGTGGGGCGCCTCGCTCACGGCGTTCGAGCGCCTCCTCAAGCCCGTCTACGAGAACGGCTTCAGCGCGCCCCGCGGCCTCGGCGGCGCGGCCCTGCACAACGGCCACCAGCTGCCCCTCCCGCGCGTCATCTCCACCACCCTGGTGGGCACCGAGACGGTGACACCCGACGACCGCTACTCGCACCTGCTGATGCAGTGGGGCCAGTTCCTGGACCACGACATGGACCTCACGGTGGCGGCGCTGAGCCAAGCGCGCTTCTCGGACGGGCGGCCGTGCTCCGAGGCGTGCACGGACGACCCGCCGTGCTTCCCCATCGCCGTGCCGCCGGACGACCCGCGCGTCCGCGGCGGCGGCGCCCGCTGCATGTTCTTTATCCGCTCGAGCCCCGTGTGCGGCAGCGGCATGACATCGCTGCTCATGAACTCTGTGTTCCCGCGCGAGCAGATCAACCAACTGACGTCGTACATCGACGCGTCGAACGTTTACGGCAGCACGGAGCGCGAGTCGGCGGAGGTGCGCGACCTGGCCAGCCAGCGTGGTTTGCTCAAGCAGGGCGTCATCCAGCGCTCGGGAAAATCCCTGCTGCCTTTCGCCACCGGGCCACCCACGGAGTGCATGAGGGACGAGCGCGAGAGCCCCATCCCTTGCTTCCTGGCGGGCGACCAGCGCGCCAACGAGCAGGTGGCCCTCACTGCGCTGCACACGCTCTGGCTCCGGGAGCACAACCGCATCGCCACCGAGCTGCTGCGGCTCAACCCGCACTGGGACGGCGACACCATCTACCACGAGGCGCGCAAGATCGTGGGTGCCCAGATGCAGCACATCACCTACGCGCACTGGCTGCCCAAGATCCTGGGGGACGTCGGCATGAAGAGAATGGGCGACTACCGGGGATACGACCCCAACGTCAACGGCGGCATCTTCAACTCGTTTGCCACGGCCGCCTTCCGCTTCGGCCACACGCTCATCAACCCCGTGCTGCACCGCCTCAACGAGAACTTCCAGCCCATCCCCGAGGGCCACCTGTCGCTGCGCCAGGCGTTCTTCTCACCGTACCGCGTGGTGAACGAGGGCGGCATCGACCCGCTGCTCCGCGGCCTGTTTGGCGTCGCCGGCAAGATGCGGGTGCCGGCCGAGCTGCTGAACCTGGAGCTGACGGAGAAGCTGTTCCACATGGCGCACACGGTGGCGCTCGACCTGGCCGCCATGAACATCCAGCGCGGACGGGACCACGCCATCCCGCCCTACAACGACTTCCGCGTCTTCTGCAACCTCACCGCGGCGGCCGACTTCGAGGATCTCAGGAATGAAATAAAAAATCCAGACGTTCGAGAGAAATTGAGGAGGTAGGGGCTTTGTTGATGATATCAATAATTGTAACCATTTCCCGCTCCGAGGACATAAGCGTACGTCATCAGTTTTTCTTCCGGTTTCGTTTTGATGATGTACACGTACATCGTCGGAATGGAATCGGAAGAATAACTAAAATTTAATAACTTTATCTTGTACCGAGGCTCCGACAAGGCCATGCAGGAGGGTTTGTGGCACAGTTTGGCAGCAGCTATAATAGAGTCCGGTCGTGTCACTACAGTTCTTTGTGGTGAGTACGATGTGTTTGAAAACAATGGTGCTATGTCTCTGTAAAGAAAATAAACGTTGGGCCGATTGTGCATTCCGAGATTCAGAGGTAAACGGGACCCACCCTGTAACTTTCAGACATCTCCGAACGGGAAAGGGTTAGGAGCGTTAAAGTGATTTGACTTTTATATTTACTTGTTTTAAATTTCGGATATAAATACCCTCTAGAGCTTTGTTTGTTAAAGGCCCTTCCATCAGTATTGGCGTAAGCAAGCGATTAAGAGTTGCTTCACCTTTACCTTTGCAGCTGTACAGGGGATAAATGTTTTTTTATGATATGGTCGAAGTAAATATTAATGTAAACTTTAATAAATGCGGCGTGTGTATATGTACCAAGTATACCGTCAAAGTCAAGAAAGGTTTCACTCTAATCAGGCGTGCAGTGTAGATGAAATAACTCATTAGTCTGGATTTAAACAGGTGGCAGAATTGGAAATATTAATAGCAAAGATTGTATTACGCCTCTTGTTGTGTGAACTCATTTTTACTGAGAAACTGCAGAAATGCTGTTAAAAAGTCCACTATCAATACTCGCACCGTAATATACCCTTGAATAAATCAAGAAACTCTGGCGAATTTAATATCACATCAACAAAACAGTGTAAAAAAAAAGGAAACCTAATAGGTTACGAATATAACTACACTTTCCTCTGTGGGCCAAACCCACGTGCCAAAACTATCCGAGCACAATCCCCTCTGAATGCTCTTGACGGCTTTGACACGCAGTAGGGTCTTTTGAGCGTTACAGTTCGAGAGCTCGGCGCGACTTCCCACAAAAAAAATTGTCACTCGACTTGTCCCCATGTGGCTTTTCCTTTTCGTCAGGCTGTACGGCACCCCTCTCAACATCGACCTGTGGCCTGCCCTCATCGCCGAAGACATCATCCCCAGCACTCGCGTGGGGCCCTCCCTCATGTGCCTCTTCCTCACGCAGTTCAGCCGTCTACGCGACGGAGACAGGTGATGAGCGCCCGCTCGCAGATACCGGCGGAGGTGATCCGTCAGCCCCGCGCCAACGCTCCCATCGCAAGCTCGGATGTTTCAATGCAGACCTTTTTGCGGTTTGTATGTCGGTTTAGAAGCGTCGTTGGTGAAAACATGTAGAAGCGCAAAATTCCGGTCATGTATAAATAAAAATAAATGCGTAGTCCAGCCTGTTTACTTTCCTGGCCTGACTCTGCTGGCGAGAGCCAGAAGGTCAAAACCGCTTCAGATTTTTGCATGTGTAAACGAGTGCCGCTGGATAATTGTTGGTCTGGAGAGTCAATAGGGTGATGGACTGAATCTCTTCCTTTATGCGTGGAGACGCAGAGCAGAGTTCTGTTTCTACATGTTTCGTGAATTTTGCTTGGGTTACATTTTTCGACTCAGTTTTTTGGCAAACGAACACTCAAAAAGGTAGGCGCAATTGGAATTTCCACAAAATTCTGTGTATGTTTCCTTTTTTTAAATGTGCATGTTTGCGATTATATACATTATTCACAATTGCGACCACATCTTGGAATGTTCATCAGCATGTTTTAGAGCCACATTTAAACCAGGCAACTAGGTCATTTAATCATTAATGGATATCTCTTGACATTGCCCTTTCATGTTTTATCACAGCCACACTAAGCTTTTCTGAACATCAGCTTGCTAAATTATTAAATTTAATTAGATAATTAGATTCCGCCAGATGATTTTCTCCCTACACTCTTTAAGTCAAGGAGGTGGAGTGGGGGGAGGTTGTTTGACCCTACTTCCCCATTGCTGTTCAGATTTCACTCTTCACTGATTTTAGCCATCGCCGGGAATGACACTGGGGTCACAAGGTTCATAGTGCAGTGTGCGAGTCACCATGTTACTGCTGCCCCCCCCACCACCCCGTGATTTACTCAGCTGCGAGAATAGCCTAGCAGCAAATCCGGCACAGCAAAATAATTTGAAGTTAATTGTAAACTACAACTGTAATTAGAGCATTTCGCACCTCCGATTAGAACGGTTGGCTACGTGCGGTGCGAAAGAGGTTCAAATGCATACATGCATTTGATGCACGCACCCGTGAGTTAAAAAAGGTAACGTTTTAACACGTAGGGTAACATTTGTCACGTTATTTCATAAATCGACAAATGAGATGTTCGAAGTGAAACAACAGATGTGTGTCGACCTTTGGCACGTTAACATAAAATCGACGTCGACATGTACATCATCGTCGATGCTGTCGTTCGTTCCCCCCCCCCCCCCCCCCCCCCCCCCCCCCCCCCCCTATCACGCCCATCGTCCGATGGTGACGGGCGTAGATTTTGGTACGAGAGCCCCGGAGTCTTCACTCCAGCGCAGCTTACCCAGATCAAGCAGGCCTCGCTGGCCCGCGTGCTCTGCGACAACGGAGACAACATCACCAGGCTCCAGCGAGATGTCTTCACCGTGGCCGAGTTCCCGCACGGATACGTCAGCTGCGACACCATCCCACGGATAGATCTGCGCCTGTGGAATGACTGCTGCGAAGGTCAGGTCCTTGTTCGGGCAAACGTTGATTTAAAGATCAGGGGTGTCGCCACGCTGTGTGAAGTCGGGTTTGTTCCAATGGCCAATGGTTCCCGGTGGTTATTGGTTAGGTTACAGATAGGATCTTTGAAGTTCCCCCCACCCTCCCCCCAATTCATCATGGATAAGATATATGGTTTCTACTACACTGTAATTATGCTATTCTACGAAACTGTTGGTTAATGACTCCATACTTGGCGTACTGTTTGTGCGCTCCCGTGTAATCAAAGGCTTCCAGCATCAACATAATCAGCATTCGTTCCTTTGTTGTCCTGTCATCCATTACACCCACAATGGCTGTGTCCCTGATTGAGATTGCACAATGGGCTAGTGTTATGTAGTTGCAAGCTTTCATAGTTGCAATTTTCAGTGGCGTGGGTTAAAATATAATTGGACACATTGCGGCTGATATTTCCTGAACGTGTTCGATTAGCTACATCATTAGACCTTTTTTTCCCAGTACCAAAATATAATAATAGGGTTTTTCCCCTTTTTTTCTGGCAACAAAACTGAAACCTTTTTTACAAGGATTCGTGTCTGCATTAACCACAATACCTGCAGTCAAAATGCAAACAAAACATACTATGATAATATATGCATTGTCCTTGAAAAGAAAGCCGTCCCTTGCTGTGGACCAATCAGTTTCAAGGACAATGCGGTTAATGCAGACATGAATCCTTGTAAAAAGGTTTCAGTTTTGTTGCCAGAAAAAAGGGGAAAAACCCTATTATTGTGTTCGATTAACTTTGAAATAAGGCATGTTACCTTGGGAAGCCTCACTGAGTCTCAAGACTCTTTTTTACGGAGGGTCCTGCTGCATTGTGACATTTGCCCAATTCTAGCACTGAGTGTCTGGCTTCTTGCGGGAGGAAACCGGAGCGCCTAGAGAAACCGCCCCTGGCAGATCTGTAGTGAGAGAGATTCCAAAACATTCATTGCTGCACTTCCATTTCCTGACCACCTTCTAGCCAGCCCCAACCTTTGCTATTCCCAATGAGTTTTCCAATAAGCTAAACACCATAAACTATTTTTTTTATTTTAGAAGGTAAGGCCCACTGAACTACGGTGCTTATTTGAGAAGCGACCTGACCACGAATGATCGCTCAACAAAGTGGCTTATCGCGTGCAAATTTAAAGCAGCCAAATACTCTAAATGCATCTAAAGTCTAAATGTGGAGGGAAAAACCGGAGGACCCGGAGAAAAATCCACACAACCACGGGGAGAACATGTACACTCCAAATATACAACAGGCATTAGGGTCGGGATCGAACCTACGACCTCCTGTGTCCCTGGTGAGGTAGTTAACATCTCGCCACCACGGTGCCCTAATCAAGTACTGACCAGGCTCTACCCTGCAAAGAGATAAATTCACCCCCCGTCTAGGAAAAACATGGATCCCCTGGGGATCTCAACTAAGCATGCGGTGTAGGGGGAAAACAAGAATAGAATCAGGAAAACTTGCCCCATCCACTCCGTAAAATCGCACCTTGCTTAGCTGTCAAATCAGGTGGAGATAATGGTGTGATATAGGTTATATAATAAGGGCACGTGGTATATCCACGAGAAATGTAGAATTGTTTTTATTATCAAGATACGGACTGAGACGCTACAGTCATCTGATTGTAGTGGATACATATATTTTACAAAGGCGGTCGCAGTAAAACTACATTGTACCAAGGAGTGGTTGAGAGGCACAGTGAAAGCAGGTGGCTTCTTTCCAATCTGACATTGAGAGTACAGTACCTTGTTTTTTAGTTTTGGATGAAAAAACAATGAAATTAAAGCACTTACCGAATTAATGCTGCAGATTAGTGGCAAACCCCTAACTCATAGTGCCACTGTAGGAGCAGTGTGGGGAAGCTTTGTGTTGCCCTTTAATGCTATCTTGAAAATGCATTTTTCTAAACTTGTGGATGATTAAATTACGAATAAATTAATTACTGTAATAGTTACGCAGTGCATCATGATTCGATGGCGTGCGAAGTGGTGCAACTGATGTGCAAAATGTTATCGTATTAAAATGCAAAATCAAATCTGAATACTGGAGAGATAATTGCTTGGAAACTTTGTTTGAATTTAATTTGTTTAGTGATGAAGTCATTTGTACATTGATATGATTAGATCAGTTGGGAGCTTTGTTTTTGGGAGGAGCTGAAAACATGGTTTGGAATTTGATTACACTGCACTTTAAACGTGGACTTCATCATGCTATACTGATTATAGCACTCAGTACATTCTCACCCTTTAGCTCAATCATATTTCTAGATGTAATCTGAAACGGTCGTACGTAAGCTACAATTAAAATGTTTTCTACTATGTGGCAAAATGAAAAATATAGGAATGTATGGATATTTGCAATATTTTTTCCTTCACCATTGCCATTTCAACCATATATAATGTTTACATCTTATTAGTTTTGCGCTCAACATTTGCATGTATTAGCATGTGTTAGTCAAAATACACCAAAAAACCCCACTAAAATATGCTAAAAGACTTGCACTGCACTGTTTAACATGCTGTGTACAAGTGATAGCCCCTTTGAAACTACTGGAAAGCTTTTCATTAAAATGCTGCGCATGGATAATTAAAGTGCTTGACATATGTAATGAATACTTTCACCTTTTTGAATAATATGAATTTATTTCCAGCATCATGGCTGGCTTTATGTCATATGCAGCTGCATATTTACCGATGTCTTTCCGAAGCGGGCTTATTGTTGGATATATTTAAAGGGACGCATAGGGAGCCTTCCCAGTATATTTCATATTGATATATATATCAGTGTATCCCCAGAAGTTGAGAATTATAGGGGAAGGGGTGTAGAGGCCAGTGCTGAATTTGCAGTCATATGGGTTCCACGCTTTATTTGTGGGTCAGTTGCTGACGGTCTGATTTAAAGAGAAGGGCACTTGGGGATGTGTGGAGCTTGCGGATAGAGGGCATGCAGGGCAGGGGGTGTCTAAATACCACGGGGAAGTCCTTGCTTTATGGTAAAGTGGACTTTTTTCTGCTTCCCAAAGGGCGGGATGATGTTGATGTTTGTTTTTGGGTTAGTCTTGGCCTCCTAACAAATAACATGGGGTTTTCACCACTCCGTTGATAATATTTTGTCAATTAAGAGTTTCGAGAAAGGCAAAGCGCGTTTAAAATTCGCATGATGTTGGCCGAAGAAGAGGGGCAGGTAGTTTTCATTGATGAAATTGATTGTTTTCAACCTTTTGCCTGTGCAATTTACTTTAAAACCTGTTCTTATTGATGAAAATGTTGGAAAAAACCAATTCCACAAATTCTTACGGATCTTAAAAGCTTGAAGTTATAAATCATCAGTGCTTATAGACATTTTTTTCTTTAGAAGCGGTGAAAAAAAACCACACAAAATGCTTTGCATCTCTTCCTTGTCATTTGCAATAACGAGATAGAAAGAAAACACTACACAAACAATTGTGATGGACTATGGATCGCCAGTCTGGGGGAGTTAACAGAGAATCCCATTCATTCAGCAATGCGAGTACCACTGCTCCAAATCTGTCATCGGAGTGATAAATGATGAGCACACCGCTGTGACCTTTCTAACACAACCATTTTGCAGCACTGCTAACGAGACGTGCCCTGTTTTACAGGATTACTTGTGTCGAGGAGAAATTTGCGATGTTACGCAGGACGCTACTCAAAGCTGTCCGTGACGAGGAAGCGTGCGTAGCGTGTGTTCTCGAAGCTGATTTGAATATCCCGACAGCTGACTGCATCTGTATTAACAAAGTGACCGCCTCCTCCTCCCCCGCCATTCCAGCTCTGTCGCAACGAGTTTTTTGCATCAACACAAAGTCGTTATCTAGACTTATTAATTTTATCCACGTGTCTTGTTCTATATTTTTCATGAGCTGCAGCCGTCTAATGCTATGTCTCGCTGCATCACGTGTTCTTGGGCGTGATGTCCGACGTTTTCGTCCCTGAAGCTCGCTACACGTGGAACGAAATGTTGGAAACTGTGCCGAGCCACGCGCGGCACAACCCGAAAACACATCGCAGAGCAGTACGGCACAACAGCGTCAACCTGCACAGTACCTTTTTACGCTCGGCTGATTTCGACTGCAGAAACGTGGTTATACTTTTATTACCACCGACGATTTATGATTGCAATATTATTATAATGCGTGTAAATGTTGCCTGTAATGAGCACCTTCATCTTTACGCGTTAAAAAACACACTTTACGTAAGTGCCCATTACAAAAAGAAAAAGACAATTCATAACATTTACGATTTCTGTTTCATGTACGGAGTAAGATAAGCGATGCTTCTGTGGTCCAATGGTGAGCGAATTGGACCTTCCAGCTCGATTCGATCGAACGTCGTGGCACCTCCTACGAGCACAGTTGGCCGCGTACGGTGCGAAAGAAGTTCCACATGCATCCGTGGCAATTTCTTGCATCCACACATGCCTCCGGTCAACCCAGCAGCAACGACGGGTGCGCCGCAGTTGAGCCGATCGGCAGACCGCGCGTGGCTGGGTGAAGTGTGGGTAACGCTCAACTCTACCAATATTTTTTCGTTTTTATAGTTATTAGTTGTTGCAACTTTAAGACCTGCATGCACCCCGCCCCCCCCTCCAACCCCTTTACTGGACATCGGTGAGAAAAGAAAAAAACCTTCATAGCAAATCGGAATTCCTCCAGGGTTAATAAAGATTCTGATTCTAGCCAGCATGGAAGAGTTGGATGACATACCCTCAAGAGGGGCTCTTTTGCGCTTTCCCTCGTGGGTGCTCTTCAACCAGCAGCTGCGTGAAGAGGAAATCGCAGGGCAACACCTTTAATACCCCTTCCTTATGTTGCTTTGAATCGATATTCAAATGCTTTTTCACCTTTTTGTTATGTGTCAGATTGCCGGACAAGGGGGCAGTTTCGAGCCATCTCTGGCCACTTCAGAACCAGACGCTCAACGGAATTCAGCTTCCCCGAAGATCAGCCGAGTCGGAGGAAACAAAAACGGGCGTCATCTCTTCGGTAGAGCATGGAACTGATTTTACTTTGCTCGGCACATTAACTCGGTAACGCTATGCACGAATCCATTGTCTTAGTCTTGCAGCAGGAAATCGCGCAATGCAAATGTCAACGCGTGTTTTCCGATGGTGAGTGTAAAACCCGTGGAATGTGTATTCTCCGGCTGCCAAAATGCACCTGGGAAACACTGACCTTGCCTACCTTCCACTTCATTAAACATATTGACTGGCTCAACAACACACAAACAGAAATTCATTTGAAGTCATAGCATGCACTACCCCGACAAAGGTGGTTTGCATGAAAGCAGATTGAGATGCCATTGATCACGTCAACTTTGAACTTGTCCACGGTGTTTGACTCCCCAACGACGCGTGTTCCACACGATCTGTTTAGAAAGCTCCCGTGTGTGATAAGCCGTCATATCCAGCCCACTAACGGTCACATGAGATGACAGTGCTATGGCCTTACGCTGACAGAGTCGTTGTGCTTTCGCAAGTAGGTCGAGAAAGACACGGTGCATGAATTATGCATGAAAACTTGAGTCAGCAAACCTCGGTTTATTTCATCTGCTGGTTAAAGGTAGCATCCTGACTGTTGTTTTACTGTCAACCAGAAACAGAGAGAAGCTCAGCAATGCAACGATTGAAGGAGACGCCGGGAGCTTCGGTGGCTACAAAAATTTCGTCTTGGACGTCCACAACACAATCGCATCCCTGCGGAATCAGGTGCGTCCGCTTAATGAGCAGTAGACATTTATTCGGCGTTAGTATGCCGCATACACGCATGCGCACATCGCATTAATTGTAATTGTTCTCACCTTGCAGTGGGAGTTTATAATCTAGACATTTGTAGAACTGATATCACTCTGCTGGCAATGTTAACTGTTAACGCACTCGACTTGCAATCCGGAGGTCGCCGGTTCTATTCCGTCTTCCGATTGCAGCCGTTGAAACAAAAGGGCATTGTTTCTCAAATTCCCATCCTCTCCCACCCCCCTTTTCTCACGGTGTGTTTTACGAAAAAAAAAACACAGCCTTGATGTTATCCGATGCTAGAGTAGCCGGGATGATTCTGCATCCGACTTGCACGTTAAGGGCCGCCCAGCATCCGTGAGAAGACCAGGCATAGCCCACATGCGTGTGTAGACTGCTATGGATGTCCAAATGACAAGCTACTTTGTTGAGCTATCATATGTGGCACGTCGCTTTTCAAAAATAAGTTAATACCTCAGCAGGCTTTGTTTGGTAAGATGTGGATGGTTTAGTTGTGTTTGTATGTGTTTTAAGTGCTTTGTTTACCTTTACATTCCTATCGTGTTTTTGTATTGTTTTTTCTGTTGTCATGCTCTTACCCTCCCCCCCCAATTGGACATCTGCGAAAAAATATATTTTATAACTCAACGGATTCCTCCAGTGTGAATACACATTCTGGGCAAGTGAGCTCTCTAAGCGGTTATGGAAACATGGCAATAGAGGGCGTTTTCTCACACGGGTCTTGGGGGGACCCTCTCATTGTAACGTTCACTCTTGCAGCAACATGTGGCGTGTCTTTTGCGACGATAAATGCGAGTATAATCGAAAACCAATGCGAGTGATAATAATAATAGCAGGGTTTTTCCCCTTTTTTCTGGCAACAAAACTGAAACCTTTTTTTACGAGGATTCGTGTTTGCATTAACCACAATACCTGCAGTCAAAATGCAAACGAAAAACACGCTCTGATAATATATGTGGCATTGTCCATGAAACTGATTGGTCCACCCACACCAGAGACAGCTTTCTCTAGAGCCTGGCCTCAATTTGTGCTAGAACAGATGACGCCAAAAGGCGTTCGATCCAATGCGAGTGCTTTGTGTTTTTTCTTCTTCTTCTTCTACTCCGAGACAGATCAGAGTGTTGGAGTCCCGTTTGAGTCGAGAACATTGCGTCACCACGGACGGAGGCAGACAGAGCGAGGGTAGCAGCTGGGACAAGGATGAGTGTACCAAGTGTCAGTGCAAGGTACGGGCATGGAAGCTTTGGCCGCGCCTGTGGAAACGACTACGTTACGAGTTACTCTTTGCTTCTTTCGGTAAAGTCACGTAGAAAATAAAATAATGACATTTCATTTCATTTTCTACGTGACTTTACCGAAAGAGTCATTCCTGCAGTCACGAAAGCTTCGAATCTAGTTTTTACGTCACGAGTCTTCATATTCCGTACTGCCGTGTGCTCTATTTGCTGCGGTGTTTGAGTGACGGGAGTTTCAAACGACGTGTCACAAAGCCGTGGGACTATTTCGACAGGTTACAAATGTACTTTCTCCGTGACATGATTGCAAGTCTTACAACTTTATTTGTATGGTTTCTGAGCATTGCATTTATATATGTAAAAAAAAAACTAATTCTGGCTACAGTAGGAACTTAAATGTGCTTGCTTAAAAATATCGGACGATTTGGTATGTATGTTTGTTGAACTTATTTTGCACTGTACGTAGGCCAACCGTGCTTATTGGAGGTGTGGGGGAAGGACAACCAAACTAAACCCAACAAGCAGTTCTCAAGAAATTTGTTTCAATGTAGATTTTAAATATTTCGATTTAAAGCTTTCGTGACTGCAATGATTCATCTTCTTTGGTTCTTTTGGTAAAGTCACGTAGAATGATAATAAAATAATAAATTGATAAAATAAAATAACACAATAATATTATCGCGACGTTTCGGCCACAACACAAGCGGCCTTCATCAGGTGAAGGGGGGCGAGACTGTCTGGTAGGACAATTTATTATTTTATTATCAATTAATTATTTTATTATCATTCTACGTGACTTTACCGAAAGAACCAAAGAAGATTTTAAATAATTAATGTCACGAGTATTCAGCTAATGAGAATTGCTGCAATACTGGAAAAAGACAAATATTTGTGTGATAAGGTTCTGTCAGGATAAATTAATGTTATATTCTATCAATTGTTAATTTGTAGAACTCATATTAAACACACAATTGTTAAAGCATGCTAAAATTGCAAACACCCTCACTGCCTTCTAACGTTTATGTGTAAGTCACCATCATCCAAGGCCTTCTGACATTGGCACCATTCCTCACGGTCCTGTGGTGCCAAGTTTAATTTGAACGATTTCTACATTGTTATGCATTTGATCAATCTTATTAATGGATTTGGTTACCCATTCTTAGCAAACGTCCATGAAATTATTCTCTTCTAAAGGACTGTTGGGCATAGGTGTCATGTGCTGCTTATCAACCTTTAATAATTAAAAAAAAACATTACCTGCACAGTCCCCAATGTGAAACGACCAGGGCTCTCTCTAACCACGGGGGCTACTGGGAATGGCAACGTGTTTTACTGTCCAGTGAGGTAGATGATACAACAAAGAAAGAGATCCCCCGTACAGCTGTTGGTGCTGTTAGCAAGCGCCTATTAAGACCGGCACAGCACCCAAGACGGTGGGTGGCCAACACCACTCGTCGCCGCCTTTGTCTCCCCAGTACTGATGTTTGTACACTGCATCAGGTACTCATTGAAGGCTTAGTTGACCTACGGGAGGCCCAGCACCGGTTCAGATATTCATCACTGACGTTAGTCATCAGTGGGTCGCTGGTTCATAGCGCGATGTGCAAACCACGACTCTACCACTTCCCCACTTCATACATACACACACACACACTATCTTCAGTTTGTTTTGTGGATTTAGAATCTCAGTGGAATTGATGAGTGTAACGTGGGATTCAGGTTCCTGGAATTATTTTCCGCACACGCTTGGTATATATATAGTATATATTTTTTTGAGATTTGTGCTCCAAAAATATTTACAATCCTGTGGGGTCCTAGCGTATTTCTGGAAGGCGGCCATGAAACTAAAAAAAAGTATTGCCATTTATTTCCCCTGGCAGGACGGGCAGGTGATGTGCCTCATTGAAACCTGCCCTCGAGCAACCTGCCCCAACCCTGTAAAAATGGCAGGTCAGTGCTGCCCAGTCTGTCACGAATATCCTGAAGTAATCTGACTCGACAATGTGAAGACTTCGACAAATCGTACGTTACTTGCTTCGTTGTCATTTTTTACATAACTGATCTTGAATGAATATATATACTGCTTATCCTATCTGTAGCAACGCATGGTAGGATAAGTTCTTGTAATGAATGAGATACTACATCTCATTTGTACTACCTTTGGAAAACAACCATATTTGAAGAAAATGGAACGATTGAGTAAAATGGCACATGGAGTAATGTGTAAAATTATCATGCAATTCTGGAATATGCTTGATTCTTAATCGACATTTGGAGTGAAAGTGTTTTGCTGCACAATGCACCGTTTCAGTTCATATGCAGTTGGTTGGAACCTCAATGTTGTAACTGGGAAGTGCTTCGGTCTGTGAACATCAACGTGCCTGTGCATGATTGAATTAAGTGGTAATTTAAGTGGGGAGTATTTGTCATTTGTGAGTATATATGACATGGCAAAAGTGGAATGATTACTCAGGTTATAAGTACGCAAACTGTACTTACATTTTTCATTCTAAGTCATATACAGAGAATACAGTACAAGGACAAAAAGGTGGACACGTGTTAAACCGTTTTAACGTATTACACAGAAGTCATAAACATGTTTATGGCAAACAATTGACGGTGGTGTAAACCAGTATTATACCCAATGCCTGTGATATTTAGTGTAATGTTCCTGACCATTAACCATAGTAAAGTATAGTAACTTTGTGTCATCCAAGGCCAATGAGTGTATACGTGAACATGAAACACCACTGCCGTCTCCTTATCATTCGATCATTCTCCTCTCCTGAATATCCTTGAGCTGTATGCACAATTTCCCCCATTCTGGTTTCACGTGCTACAGATTATGTTGCAGAATACGGATGTGATTGCAAATTCTACAAAGGTGCATTTTTACTATCGTGTAATGTTTTTTTTAATGGAAGTCAAATTCCATGGTCATTTCTCCTTTTTGTAAGTTTAGTTCAATATTCAGTATTTTCAATGTCTCTTGATAGGTATGATAAGTAGTTAAGTCGAAGGTCATACCTGTAATGTACTAATAAACTGTAGGTATGGTCTTCCACAGTTGTGAAGGAAATGACGGTGATCTATGGTTTTGTAAACAGTTGAACTCTCATCTGCTGCACTATTACCCACGACTCTTATCGTCTTTGGAACCTATAAGGTCCACTACCTGCAACCGTGATCTTCCTATTATCCGTGATTATCTTAGGTTACTCCCCGTTCTGTATTGCAGAAAAGCCTCCTATTGTCCGCCAGTGTTAAGTGGATAAATATGGCCGTGTGGCAAATTCATACTATTATCTGCATTTATCCGTGTTACTTTCTTTTAGATAAATTGGAGTACATTTGTTGACAACATTGCAGACAATAAGATCTGTGATGCCTGTCCTCACTTCGCTGCAGATGAGAGAAATTCTACTCTTGTTAAAAAGAAGCTATTACATACAATGCCAGTACTTTAGTCAATTTTTACCAAAGATAACACCATTATAATAAGCCATGTCAACTGAAAAAAAAAACATTTGTTAATGCTTTTAATATAACTTGTTAATTGAAATAAGCTCCTTTGCAGTTATGTATTACGTATAGAGGAGTTGTTTTAGCATTTCTCAATGCAGTATCTAATGCCACACCAATAAACATTGTTTTTATTAAAATATGCCTTCTCACTTGTGTTTCTTTATCTCTTGATGTCGATTCATTTTTCACCTTCCTGTACCAAACTTATTTTCTGGCATCTCTTGCTCCCACATGCTTGCATTGTCATTTTTTAAATTTGCGTCTATTTGTGTCATGGCGAGACTAAAATATAGAGCTTAATTACACCTCTCCCTAACCTTTTCTCGCACCTCTTGCTCTCATATGGCATTTGCGCTGCTTGTTTGATCTGTGTGTGTTTCGTTCACGACAATTAACTACCTCGTTTGTTCGCTGTCCGATATTCCTCAAGGACCCAGGACCCGTTCTCTACAATATTGACGTGTTTGTCTTTATTTTATTGTTGCTCTGCTCACGCACCGGGAAATTGGCTAATTGGGATAATCTGTGTAACAAACAAAATAGACCCAAACCTACGGATTGCGTAAAATGGAGCCTCAAGTATGATATTTTTTGTCAACAGCACAAGACAATTCTGTTTTGCCAAGTGATAAAATTTTCAGCTTTCTAAATTTGCATTAAACGACCATTGTGGTCACTACATCGCGCGCTTTCAGATGCGCTTCTGCGGCCGTCTGGAACGCTCTTCCTTCCAACGTTAGGAAGCCACAGATGTAAAACTCATTTCTTTAGAAATGCTTTTTGTGTTTAGCTTGTTGTCCTTCCCCCACACCTCCGATTAGCGCGGTTGGCTACGTACGAAACGAAAAGAAGTTCATAATATTCAAGGAGTGCCACGCATGCTTTTCAAGCACAACACGGGACAACTAAAATGGTTCCATTTGCACGCACGTCACTCTCAACCGCACGCCCAGGGACCATCGGCTCGCCCCGGGGTCAAGTTGACTTCTGAGGCTTTGCACGAGACGCCTGATCATTTCTTGCTCCCCTGTGGGTGGTAGGCTTGCGAGAGATAGAGGAGGAGGATGGGCCGAGTGGGGGGGGGAGGGCGGCGGGGAGTGCACGTGGGGGAGTTGACCTTCATGCCCGCTTGCTGGAGAACGGACGGTCCGTGGCTCGTTCGCGTTCCGTCATGCCCACCACAGCCGGCTGGGACCTCGTCCAGCGATGCCGGGTAATTGTGGCACGGCGCGATTGCTTCTGCGCACCTACGCTCAGCTCCGTTCGCCCATTTTGATGGCTCTGCTGCACGAAACGCCTCGATGCTTTGCGCGGGTCAGTCTGACTCGCGCGTCCTCTCGGCTGCCGTTCGTGACGCCCGCTGACGCTTCTCAACTTTGTCAATGGAGACTATATTCATTTAGTGCTGGAGAATTGACAATAGCACATTGTTGTGAGATGAATAAAACATGGATACATGTAACGTTCTACATGTTTTTGAGGATTAATGTAATGTATAACTGTCGGTGACTAATTCCAGTTATAACTTAACTATGCTTTCCAGTAGAATAACCTATGGGAGGGAACTGGTTAAGATCATAGTGACACATTTTGAATAAAATATTTTACAATGATTCCCATATATCGTCATTCCAACTCTTGATAATTGAGGTAACACGAGTTGTACATTTATAAATGTACTTACAGTGTACTGCAGTGGCGCATTTTTTAGTCCACTGCATTGTGAACCCAGTATTATTTCCAGCCATATCTGACATTGGTGGAGGGACTATGTTAATGAATGGATTTAAAACTGGATATAAATGATTATTTTAACTATTAAATTGGTTAAAATTATAAATTTTCGTGTCAAGGAATGTGCATTCTGGTAAAGCAAACATGCACCATTATTCATATATAACAGATATCAATTAATTTTGTTGTAAACGTTGCACATGATGTTAAACTCTAACTCAGTGCTCAGTGCCATGTCAGCATCTTTACTGGTTAGGCTGGAAACACATTCATAGATGAGTATATATGTGTCCAGACAGGCTATGCACAACGGTATTTGATATTCATTCGTCTTTCCAGAATCTGGTCGATGGTACAGCACTTTTAATAAACCCCGCCTGCTCGCATGGATGGTTAGCCTCTAAAATGTTCTCAGTGATCTTCATGAAAAATGTACGTATGTGTGATAAGAGGCTCATTGGGCTATGCTTCTGCAAGTGGATGTTATCACTATTTTCGAATAGAATGATTGAGGCATCAATCCAGGGATTGACGCAACTTAATTTCTTTGTAAACATTTATTAAATGTCTGATAATTTTGTTCCATCAAATGGTCCCGCTTCTTTGATGTCCGCAGTTATGCCACCTGGTCAAGGAGCTTTTATTTTTTTCGTTGTGTGACGGGAAGTGATTACTTATGTAAGCATGACATCTGTCACTTCCTCCCTTTATCTGAAAAATGCTTTGATTCTTTTGATATAACGTGTTCATAGAGATCTGCTTAAAATTACTGCACTAACTTTAAGATGATATCTCTATAATGAGATAGGACTCTATCATTCCCCCTAATGGCTACCATTTGTCTAATCATTAGCCATCTTGTTGCTCTCATGCTCCCATTTGTCTGCTGTGACATCTTCAATCATCTCTGTCCTCCTTTTTCTGCTTTCTCGTTCTGCGCCAAATAGTTTCACTCGGTGGATATTAATGCAGGCATCCGAGCTTTCACAAACCTCGACCTGAAGAAAAAGTATTTTAACATGTAGCAAAGTCATTATCAAAAATGCAACAGCTCCACTGAGGATGAATGGCGAATGTTACAAAATACATGTGAGAAGCGGAGTCTGGAAAGAAGACACTCTTTCACCATGGTAATTCACAAGGGCATGCAGGAATGTTTTCTATTTAAAAAAAATCATTTGAAGAAATACAGCCATGCCATTTAACCATCTCAGATTTGGTGCAGGCATAGACATGGGAACAAGGAATGGCAATTGAATCCAGAAAATGTATTCCGAATTCAATGAAGTGAGTGGGGGCTTTGTCTGGACGCATTTGCTAGAAGAGGTGATCACCAGTGGTCAAGACTAACAACAAAGTGGCATTGGGGATTTACGGAGCAAGAAGATCGGCTCGTGCGATGGCTGCATCGCAGAACTGTGAGATGTCACAACAGCTTGAGGGAACGTTCAATCCACCAGTAGATTGATCATGGCTGTTGATATCGGTGCACACAGAAAAAATTACAGCGCGTATTATTGAATTATAACAATTTACATTGCCAAAGAAGTACATACGGAATACAGGTAATCAGCAAAGTGTTTTAATAAAATATTCTCTTTTTTATTATCAAGTTTACATTAAATATGGGTAAGACAGTAGATTCATTAACAAGTGCTTTATTTTAAAACACTTAATATGAAGAAACGTAATTACAAACACGCTCTTTCAAGCTAAGTAACATCTGATAAAAGTATCTGTGCCATTTCTTATACAATCAAAATGTGTTTATAAAGAGGATTTGCACTCCGAAGTGGGCCACTGATATGTACAATTTTATATGTAATAGACATAATTATACCGCTGCTGTTTAGTTATTAACATATACTCTAGATAATTAAATGATCTGGAAAATAAGACACTCCAAACATGCCCCGGTCAATAAAATTATACAAATCCCTAAACTCAAATCCCTGACAGATAATAAGATGCATCCCCCCTCAACCTTTAATTTAAAATACAGAAAAACGTGCATTATGATCTGGAGAATACGGTAATAATCTGTATGCAGTGCTATGCAAAATTAAGATACACATTCTCATTCCAAACCAAAGCGTTCAACTGTATATTAAAAACAAAATAAAGCACTCTGCACAGAACATGCGACATTCTACAACACTATAGTACTGTACTTGCTATTCAAATAATGTATGGCTTTGTTTAAAATAAAAATCCTATAGTACAGCAGTTTACCCTGTATATGTAAGATGCGTGCGAAATGCATATGCTTCACATATTACTTTTAGGTATATCTACTTGCACGTAAAGCAAAAATTAATTAGCGCACGTTCTACGTATGTCACCTTTATCGTCCTCATTTGTGAATTCAAATTAAGTTTATATGTTTTTCTACTTTGGCATTAATGTAATGTGGAATGACATCGACATTCAGTTAACTTGACGGCGAACGCATTTGCACTCGGGGAAGAGGGTGGCGCGCGCGTGTGTGTGGGGGGCAGGGGGGGGCAGGGGGGGCAGGGGGGGGGGGCAAACCCCTCCTCCGCTTTTTGCATGCGGAGCAAACCGAGAGCGAAGTGGGTTCACGGACGCGGCACCACCCGCCCGCTCGCCCCGCCCGCAAGCCACCCGCTGGGGCACAACGGAGCGACGGATCGCGCCCGTCACTCCGCCGCTCCTCCGCGTGGCAGCCAGAGAGACCCCACTGGTGCGTGGCCACGCAGAGATGAGATGCGGGAGAAGACGACGACGATGACGACTCGGCGTTAGCCACGCGCCCTCTGCACCACCAACCCCACCATGAAACACGTCTGGCGCCGAGCAGTGAGTGCCAGATCCCCTACCAATGAGGTGGGGGGGGGGGGGCGTAAGGATGTAAGCCCCCCCCCTCAAAAGCCTCCCCCCCCACAACTTGCTGAAGGCTCCGTGTTGTAATTTGCAAGCCTCATTTGAATACAGTCGGCGGTAGTTGGATATGGCTGTACAAAAATGCACGTGTTTTTTTTTTACAATTAAGCGATGGGGTTCACAGCCCTTGTTCATATACATCGGGGGCGAGAGCGTGCAGCAGAATGCACAACAGGCAGACGCAGATCATATCGTCACTCGTTCTGTTTGGCATTTAACATGTCTTTAAAAAGTTTGTTTCACGGTTGACTGCGTTGTCCCACACTCTGAGGTTGTCTATCCCCTCCCCCCTCTTCCTTTAAACAAGGTCAATGCTACAGGGCTGCCGAGCGCAGGCAATACCTAAAAGTACAGAAGCTGAGTCCGGCTGGCTCTAAACCGAGATTGTCTTTCAATCTGAGAACAAATTGATGGCGCTGACATGAAAGAGGCGTGCTTGCTAAACCCGCACTCATTCAGCCGTAGAAAAACTGAGATTTGGAAAAATGCCGTTAAAAAAAAAACATCTTGAGCACAAGGTTAAACGGGGATTTGGCTTGTCTAAACCGCTTGTAAAAGTGATGTTGCGTGTTCGGTTTTTTTTCATATCCATTTTGCCACGACACCCACGACTTACCCATGCGAGTGTTTGTGCTTGGATTGGGCAAAGGGGCCGCATTTTCTTCGTAACAAGGTGATTCACGCGATAGCGTGACTCCCATTTATCCATGACAACGTGAACTAGTTAGGGCGTAAAAAGTTACGGACCAGAATTTGTTTTGTAACAAATATTTCCGTTTATACAAGTCGGAAATAATGTGAAGAATGCGCAGTTGATGTTGAAACACCATGAGTGTAAATAGTTAAAGAAATTTACGAAAGCCGTATGCCAGGGTCTTCATTTGTATGTGACATGAAAGAAGAAAATAGCATTGAATCCCACAAAACCACAGGAGTGCTTCACTTACTCCATCCACTTGGATCGACTTGAAAGCCGCTTATCTAGAAAGTGCTGGCATCACATTGTGGTTTTAAGTGGCATTTTGTGAATCGTGACCCTTCTTTTTTAAAACTTCTATAACAAGATTCAGAATTATATAAAAAATATATAAATATATTCATATACAGTACATGTGTCCCGGTAGGGGCTGGGGGTGGAGTATATGTCCTTTGGCTGGGCCCATCTTTTCTGTGTTTGTTGGAGCCGCGTGTTCATTGCCCCAGCGCAGCCATCGAGGGAGTCGGGGCCTGCCAAAAACTCCCGGCCGTTTCCTCCTTCACGCGGATCAACGCCAATTGGACTCGGCTCTTCTTTATACATCGGTGTCGTTATTTGGCTGAGCTTCGTCTCTCGGCCACCCTCGCAGGGCCTGTTTGCTCGTCAACAGTTTTCAAGTCGACACATGGAGATCGCTAAACCCTCTCGGATTCACTTGCAGTAGATTTGCATTTTCCCTCCGCATTGGCTCTCCACAAACAATGGATCCACCAGGGCCACCTTGGCAGAGATGAATGAGTGGATGCAGTGTAGCGCTGCCACAAGGTTGGGAAATTCCAGCTCCTGAAAAAAAAACAACGTCAAAGATTACGGTTAGAAAGGCACAGTCCTGCAATGACTTATTCGTGTTACCGCTGGCGGAAGGGCCTCGTAGATATTCCCACGAGACGCAGGAAGCACAAACCCTCCAACATATTATGTCAATCCGGTGGAAAGTGGTTATACTGAGGGTATTAATTTGCGGTCTCTGCCCCCCCCCCCCCCCAATATATATATAAATAATTGCATATCCTGTAAAACGTAATTTAATTGACCATGCAACTGCTATCGAAATGTCCTCCCAAATATAATTGAGCCCAACTAGAGGATACTTGGCCTACTTTTCTACTCTTTCACGTTAGCCAGATATCTTGGAGATGGGAGTGCCCACACTTGTTAGGACCGCGCGCAGCCTGCCAATCGACTAACTGTAGTGAACCCTTTTATACTGCCGAGCGGACAGAGGCGGTGGCATTTAAGAAATGTGCCCATCGTGTCAACTACCGCGCCAGGAGGTTGAACCGGCATCATCCGCATGTTAAGTCCAGTGTGCTAACTATTATAATTTAATATAGTTCTATTAACAATTATATATTCACGTACATGTAATTAATATACGGCAGTACGGCAAGTTGGCAGTAAAACCACGTAACAACAATTGGATAAAATGTTTAATACAGAAATGCAGAATTTTATTACAAAATGCAGGACGGAACGCGTCAAAATGTTTTTTTTCCTCCGTGGAGATGGAGTGGTGAAATTGTTCCGTTGCGGAATTATGACGAGGTGCTGGCCATTTGGTGAGACCCTTCATCCAACAGTGGATTGATCATGGCTGATAATGATAGTGATGAAAAAGCAGCGTTTTGAAGTTATCCATCAGTCATATGAAGCAAGTTCAAGAGTAACAGTGAGCATTCATCAAACCAGCTTACCTTTGTTTCTATCAATCTAGGATCGTTTTTTTGAAAAAGAAACTTTATTTTCGATTTCCCATCATCAGATGAACCTTTCAGCTGGCAGAATTTATACCGCCAAAATACTTGCTGTGGAAACAAACAATGTTTATATTTTTATATTTGTGATATAACATAGTTTAACTGGCTCTCTGGGGACTGAGGTCAAGGCAGGCATGTGAAAAGTTGAAATATGTGAACATCTGCAGAGAAATAACGGACTGAGCACAACAGGTTACTGGGCAAACATGAACCGCAAATCACTTTAAGCATGGGCACATTGTTTAGTGTGCTGTAGAGGTAAAAGGATGTACGCACAATTTAGAAGATATTACTGCTTCAATTTTGATTTAAAGCTTTCGTGACTGCAGTAATTCATATTCTTAGCTCTTTCGGTAAAGTCACGTTGAAGGGAAACAATAAAATAATAAAAAATATATAAAACAATTAAAATTCTCACGACGTTTCGCCTGATGACGACTGTTTGTGTTATGGTCGAAACGTCGTGAGAATTTTTATTGTTTTATATATATTTTATTATTTTATTGTTTCCCTTCAACGTGACTTTACCGAAAGAGCTAAGAATATATTACTGCTTGTTTAACGGTCTGATTTGTGAACGTCTGTAGAACATGACAGTTACACCGTGCGCGAACAACACACTGGGTGTGGGCGGTTAATTGGTCAGGGCGGATATGTGACGGTCGGATTTTCAACACTCGTGTAGAGTATTTTGCGAACACCTTCAGAAGTCACCTTGGAGTTGGCTTCAAAGCAAGCAAAGCCCAGGTTGAAATCTACTGTGAGCCCAGTCGCGTGACCACGCCATACGCAGCTGTAGGTTTTGCTCTGAAAAGAAATGTTCATGCACAAGATTCCCATTACACTGCAGTCCAATTTTCACAATGCAAGATCGATACAAACATCGCGAGCAAATGTCGGAAGATATTTCTGGTGTAACATATAAACTGTAATACAAATCAAAGTTAGGTTTGTAAAATGACCGTGAAAGTCTGCTATGCTTTTCACGAAGAGGCCCAGTTCTATATAGAACAACCTCATTAAGCGTCGATTGAAAGCTTTCGTGATTGTAGGGATTCATATTCTTGGTTCTTTCGGTAAAGTCACCACGTAAATAGAAAAAGAATAATACAGAATAAAGTGAATAAAAAATAATCAAAATAAAATAATAAAAAACAAAAAAACACTAGTGTAGACTAAATTTCGATTTAAAGCTTTCGTAACTGCAGGGATTCATATTCTTGGTTCTTTCGGTAAAGTCACCACGTAGAAGGGAAACAATAAAATAATAAAAATATAAAAAAAATTATCACGACGTTTCGACTGCAACACAAGCAATCATCGTCAGGTGTGCAAACCACAGCAAAGAAATGAAAAAGTGGCGTTTTTTTTTACGTTAGCACCACGGAGAGCGATTTGGCAGTTATTCAGATGGACGAGTCCATCTATTTTATTGTTTCTCTTCTACGTGACTTTACCGAAAGAACCAATAATATGAACCTCATTAAGCTTACAAAGACGCAACATTTGTTTTATGAAGAAAATGTGATATGAGTGCTAATGTAACCCAATGAAATATCTAAATCTTTTCCCAAATGAGGATTGTAGGTTGAATTATAATCATTAACAGATATTGACATACGCTGTGTTTTTTATATGATTAGCTGCTAGTTAAATCAGATACGGGCATCTCCATGACGTTAATTGTGGAGTCGTTTACATATCATTGCTGCCAAGGTTTCAGAGATGAATGAATGCAGGATGTGGTCAGAGGTTAATTTAGTTGAGAATGCACATTTTAATTCTGTACACGGTTATTGAATATGAGAAATGGTGTTTCATTAATGCCAGTGTCAACGTGGTGTGCAGGTGATTGAAATGCGTTATTAATTTAATAAGATAAAAATGTAATTCCTACAGTGTTTAAGAGCAATTAATAGCGCGCTTTATTTATTTATTAAAATGTTAAATGTTTCTTTCCATTTTGGCCTCAAGTTATGCACTCGTGCATGAATAATGTATGCTTTATTTAATGAGCATTCCTTCAAGGACTACTGCTTGGCATTCTGCCTTCTTCTTCTAGGTTTTTTCGGTAAAGTCAGTTACATGCTAATTTCCCAGTTACATGCTAATTTCTGACTTTAACACCCTGCTAATCCAACACTTTAACACAGCTATTTCAATGCTAAATTATTCTCTTGATATGTAAACTCCTTTGTCAAGGCGCTCTGCTCCTCCCACCCAGCTTAAAAGACGCTGCGAAGCTTAGCAGCGTTCATTGAAGCGCTGTCGTCCCGATAGTTCTGTTCCTTCACCTGAAGAAGGCTACTTGTGTTGTGGCCGAAACGTCGTGAGAATTTTATTATATTATGTTTTATTTTTATTATTGAATTTCCATTCTACGTGACTTTACCGAAAGAGACAAGAAGATGAATCCCTGCAGTCACGAAAGCTTTAAATCGAAATTCTGCCTTCTGTTGGCATTGGATCGAGTGCTACCAATTAATGTTGAAAAAACACAAATATTACGACTGCACAAAAATCGTGTCCGGAGGAGTTGCCCGCGTGCTTTCCACGCTGCGTCAATGAAATCATGTACATTTGGTATTTGCGCCATTCTCACAGCGCAAGGTTACCACGAAGGTGCTATGCTTCACAGATGACTGCATTGTGAATCGGTGGGAGTTTCACAGTAGGGGCGATGTTGCTATATGCAATAGTTATTTGCAAATGACTTTAAAATTTGTCAAATTTGGACCATGACGCTTGCGTTCATGGCCTACTATTTTTTCAAATCAAGTCACGGCGGCCGCTGGTTGCGATTTGCGAACTTCTGCAACAAGCGGCAAACATGCTCCTACTGCTTGGTCATGCATCCACCGGTGTAAATGTGTCATGTCTAGCCAAGGAAGAGAATAATATAACATTAAATGTAGCTGATATTCGTGTTGCATTAAGGTATCTTAGTATTCACCAAGAGTTCCCCCGTTGTCTCGCTTTAGCCAGCATTTTATGTGGCCAGGATTACAACTAGCAAATGCCCACTACTCGTGAGCCGAAAGAAAACAGGGTAATCTATTTGAAGAGCAATCTGACACCTCTGGAACATTGAATGTTGTGATGATAATTAGCCACTCGCCACTCACTTGCAGACATTCAATAGCTGCAACATAGTATCTGTAATGACTTGAGATTGCACCGATTACACGAAGTGCATACTTTGAGTACTTTTGCAGTGCTTGAATATCTTTCACTAAAATCATCACCGATATAATTGGTCTGTAATTACATACACCGTAATTTTGCCACTATGTGAGAAATGCAAACATATAATGCAAATGCTTTGTTTTGTTACAATCAAAACAATTGTGAGATGTTTATTTGAATTATACAGCAAACATTTCCACGCTCAAGTAAATTGTGCGGTAACAAAGCATGCGACTTTTATCTGCTATCTGGGCGAAAACGCAATTCAAAGTCTAGTGTATAATAGTGTGCTTCATGTTCAATTCTGCAAAGTGTAGAGAAGGGGGAATGTAAAATGCACATAATTTCGTCCACGAGAATGCCCACATTGAAAAAAAGTCCCCTCCAGCCTGTTCCACTCGACGCAGGTGTACACTGCATCCATTCGATCTGCAACCGAGGCAAACGCGCTTGTTAAATAACCGGGTTCATTGCCGATTCGAATGTTCCTGGGAAGTTTGATGAGCGCGGTCGGTAGGCGCGAGGAGAGCCGATCTCGAGCGACCGTCACCTACGGGAGCAGAGGCGCGGAGGACCACATTGCGTGTGCTGGCGTACCCCAACTCGCTGCACCTCGGAGAACTGTGCCTGCTGGTATGCCTTCTCCCAGAGTGCGACGTCGCCCGCCAGCTCCGTGCTGAAGTAGTGGCTGTCGCCCGTGCCGGTCAGCACGCTGAAACAGCACGGCCTCATGTCGCGCAGGTCAACCTCCTGGGGAAGCCTGCGCGTGAGTGCCCCGACTGCCGCCGCTCGCTCGCAGCCAAGTAAACCAAGCCACAAAACGGCGAACAAAGGGCGGCAAGCCTCGCTCGGGTCAACAGAAGCTTCGGTGGGATGGTGGCTGCCCGTTTCGGGACGTGTTTATTTTTTTTTCTTTCGCAGAAGCGAAAGCGTTTGCCGTTTAGCGCGCTATTGTTGTGTCGTGCATTTCTTTGCCGGGTCATGGAATGGACGCAGCAGTTGGGGCAGACCCACAGACAAAGATGCGATGCCGCTTAGAATCAAATACATGATTTGTTAATCTTCTGCTATTACCAATAGGTCACAGTGGCCTTGTTGTGCATTTGACACTGGCTTCCAACCAGCTCACAGCTATAATTTATTTTAGCACGACGAGCGTGCGGTCTGCCAATAATAATCAAAATACACTTTAAAACAATTACACAGAAATCAATTCAGACATTAGCAGTAATATATTCCATTGTTACAGGATATTGGCTTAAAATTGATACATTGTCTGTGAAAGGCCTTCATCAAAATAAAAAAAATATGAAAGATGGTTAAACGTTTACATTATGGAATATTGTTTTGCAGAATTCCCACGAAATACTTATGTGGTTATACGTGTTAACCTCTGCTTTGTTTTAAAATGTTAAATTACAGGTGCAGCTCTGCAATTCGTTGCAATTTATAGCTCATGTAACTGCTGGTGGAAGGGCCTCGCCTAGAGGAAGCTCAAAAGAGCCCTCTAGATCTATTTTTCCCTACTTCTTCCAAAATGGTCAGACGTCTTAGAAGAGGTGGTAGTACCCACACTTTAACCCACCACACGTGACTTGCTGATCAACTGACCGTGTTGTGTACCTATTTATACTGTGGGTAGATTAGCCCAGCATGAAACATTGTTGACAAATGATATCACATGCTCAATAGTACAGTAATTTTATTGAAATGGAAAATACGCTATTACATATTGACACGTAGATGTATAGTCTAATGACAGATGACAATGTTCATTTCGATAGAACATCCATATCGTGTCCATAATAGAAGTTTTTGGGTTAGATTGCTTAAATATAAATATGCTCTTAAACCAGCCACCCAAAAACCTCTATTATTGATAATATTGGCCGCGAAAGCTTACGTGTTAAACATGCACATCATATTGTTCATCGTAACCTTGAACTATGACCACAATGCTTGGAAATCAATTACGGGTGAGGATACTGTGTTCATTGACCATCGTTGAAAATGCAGTCAATATCGGTCCCACTGATGCACAAAATATGACAGGAAAATAGAAATGGATATATGAGTATATACTCACACCGATCACCTTTGATGGAGAACTGCAATTGATTTATTGCATCCATTAATCGATGCTCAGAACAATCAATCGTAACGCACTATTACATTATTTATTAAATACATTTACAACATTGTGTGCATTGAGATAGTACATAAATTGCACATTCGACTGCTATGTTAAAAAATATATACCGTATATTTGCGCTTCAGAATCTGTATCTATTGGAGCTATGAAGCTCTTTTTTCACAGATGTCCAGTAAAGGCGGGTCAGAAAGATACAACAAACAATAAAAAAATACGATGGCATTGCAAAGTATAGCAAAAGTAAGCAAATAACGAAAAATAAATCAAAGAAAGTATGTAAAAGGAAAGTTGCTGAACCGTGCTACACCTGTAGCTGTTACGCACCTTGTGGGTTTTCAGAAACGTTTCACACAGATCGTACATCTTCTCTCCTCTCGCCCAGTCACATAAGCTGAGCTACGTTGACAAGAAAATAATAAGATGTGAACACTTTGGCCAAAATAACATGAGGTTAAATTATTACTCCGTACATTTCCAGCCCCCCCCCGCCTCCCTCCCTCTCCAAATATTTAAACTCTGCCACGTAGTAGATATTTGAATAGTTCAAAGCGGATGTTGCTTTCTACGCTTGTGCGGACGACTCAAAGCATCACACTTCGTTACAGGTCAAGAAATGGAATGAATGCAAAAGCATTTCAAACATTAAGTCGTATCTCGCATTTTTTTCACCGGCTTCAGAAGCACGATTTCATGGAGTAATGCTCTTGTGGATGCCTCATTTATCTGATTTGTCAATTCGATGAATGATGCATTGTGCTGCTTTCTTTGGTGTTTGCTCAGTTAGTTCATCTGGGCTCCCTTGATCTGTCCATTACATCTTTTTTTACGGTAGGCCTCATAAATCTTTCTGTAATGATTTCTCTGATGGCTCAGCGGATGGAGGAGTTCATTTTTGTTAGCCCATGACCGTCCATTCATTATTATATCCTGCCAACACAGGGGATGGTGGGGTGGGAGGTGGTGGTGGTGGTGGAGCTGTCCTGTTTATAGGATAGACAAGGTGGTGCCACTTACCGGGGGTCCCGAGAAGAGAAACATGTTGGGGCCTCTCAGGGCCAAGAAACGTGACTGGTAGTGCTGCCCAAATTCTGCATCCTGAATTCTCTCCTCCACCCAGCCCATGTGCACAATCTAAGGTAGAATCGGACATACCTCCAATTAGGTATCGAACCGCACATACCTATGTAACGCCGATTAGTAAGGTTGGCTACATATGGAGCGAAATAAGTTCAACATACGTACGTAGTCCACATTATCACGCGGTTTCAGTAAAATATTGTAGAATTAATCTTTGCATATAAATGACACATAGGTAGCTTCTGTGACTTTGTTTTTGTAAATTTATGCTATGACAAAGATTTGCGCAGGCTGTGAACGTATCAAATTCATTGCCAGCAATTTAAATTTTTACTCGTTTATGTTGATAAGGAAAATTGCATCTGAGAATAACTCCGTTGTTTGAGTTGAATTAAATTTAAAAGTGTGGTTGCAAGAAAATTATTTTGCCCAGAGGGTAAGATTCTTAACTTTCAAATCAGTTTTTATATATATAAAACGTACAGTTAACCCTCCTTTGTTGTTTTAATGAACTTACCCTATAATTGGAACCTATAGGGAAATGTTATAAACTTGCTAAGGCATTCACTTTACAATTAATAAAATGTTTTCACCATGCTTTTTAAAGGTCATAAAACGTCTGTGCGCATGTATAAATATATTTTGGCCGTAATGGTTGGATTTTGTGTTAAATTTAGATTTGAGCACTGTCTGGGAATGGAATCGGTGAATGTTGCCACTTGCATACATTTTTTATAAATACTTTATTTATGTTCATAACACTAAGTGCTTTGCTCTGACTTCAACATTGCTTTAATGGAGGGCCACATTTCACTTGATTCTAAATCATACTGCAGGTGTACATCATGTCGGACGTGACCTGATTTGCCAAAGCAAGGACGTTTGATTGCATAAATGCATTGGAAAGATTAAGTGCAAGAGTGAGTGAAGCTAACATGTGTTTGAGTTGATATGTTTCACGAAATATTCAGTTTATTTACAATTCTATGACTCTTCAAATTGTTAATCTGCACATCAATTATCGTATAAGGTTAAAAGGTCAATTTACAACTGTTGATAATTTTACTTTGTATGACCCAGGACTTTCCAGGCACCTCACTGCATAGTACAATTTAGAAACAGTACCTACCCAATGTATATACTCTCTCTGCTTTGAAGAAGTGCCATTTAGCATATTATTATCCGCCTTTATATATATTTGTCGTTATATGGCAGTGTTAATAATGGTGATGTTTTTATAGGCCGCAATTCCATCAAACCCACACTCAAAAGACCACATAGGTGTGTAAACACCCCCCCCCTCTCTCCCCCTAACGTTCCTGCTTACCTCACAGCCCATCAATGGTTTGGAAGTTTCACGAATCTGCATTGATTTACCAACCCTTGCAGTTGTGAGCCACTTCTTCTCGCCAAAAAAATGTAAAAGGTACAACTGATGTTCAGTATACACAGGCATCTGTTAAAGGTGTCTCTTTCGAGAAAATGGGCAAGTATGGTTAGAGTAGGTCAAAATACTCTCAAGCGGGGCACTGTAGAGTTTGCTCCAATGACACTTTTAAGGGACTAAAACGTATTGTACATTTCCAATTTATAAATTACATTTTGCGTTAAACGTGTAATTCAAAGGCTTGCTTTGGATTGTAAAATCATGGTCTATCTAGTAAAGGTTTCATTAGTCGAATATATGGAAATAAATTGAATGTTTTATGTTTTGAGTACTGAAATACAGTGACTAATGTTTAGTATGACTGGGGAGCAGTGATAATAATGATATATATGTTTCCATTATCTGATCTTTTCCACTGTGCTAAAACATGTGTTCCTCCTAGAAGGCAAGGCACTTTTGTTATAAGTTATCGTATATTATTAAAAAAAAGAAATGTAATAAGTACAACAATAATTATAGCATATACAAGTTCAAAGACTTACCTGCTCATAAAGTGATAGATTTTTATTGGTCATCCTAATCTGAAACAAAATATAATAACCATATTTAATGCGAAGCGTTGGTATAATGTAACAAATATTCTTAGTTTTTTTCGGTAAAGTCACGTAGATAGAAAAATTATAATAAAAAATTAAGTGAATAAAAAAACAAATAATAAGTCTACATCATAGACTGTCAATACGCTTACCAGCTTAAAAACCAGGCTACAGTCTACATTATAGACTGCCAGTACACTCACCCAGCTCCATAACCATTGCTACAGTCTGCATTATAGACTGCCAGTACACTCACCAAGCCTAATAACCCGACTACAGTCTACTTTATAGACTGCCAGTACACTCACTCCGATTAAGAACTAGGCTACAGTCTACACTAGTATTCTTGGTTCTTTCAGTAAAGTCACGTAGAAGGGAAACAATCAAATAATAAAAATATAAAACAATACAATTTTCACGACGTTTCGACTGCAATACAAGCAATCATCATCAGGTGTGAAAACAACCACAGCAAATTTTCTTGCTGTGGTTTTCACACCTGATGATGATTGCTTGTGTTGCAGTCGAAACGTCGTAATCATTTTATTGCTTTATATTTTTATTATTTTATTGTTTCCCTTCTACGTGACTTTACCGACAGAACCAAGAATATGAATCCCTGCAGTCACGAAAGCTTTAAATCAAAATTGAGTCTACACTAGTGGTTTTTATTATTATTTTATATTGATTATTTTTTTGATTCACTTTATTTTGTATTATTCTTTTTCTATCTACGTGACTTTACCGAAAGAACCAAAGAATATGAATTTCTGCAGTCACGAAAGTTTTAAGTGAAAATGTAACACATGTTTGAATGTGTGCATATTTGTTTTTATTTTACTCTGTGGCGAATCATTCAAGGGAGTCATGTTTCCACCGAGAAGCAATCCATTTAACGGAGCTTATAACATTTTCTCGGGTTTGATAAGCCTTGTAATCTTAATGTAGTGCGTAATGTATTCCAGGCACATAGTCTAATCATGTGCCTTTGTGCAATGTGTGTGCCAGTGTCCCCCGTTGCATGGCAAATCTAGCAGTGGCCTCTACTGCAGCCACAAGGCACGGGAAATAGCATTCGGCCAAAAACACTCACATGCTGCTGAATGAGGTCACCTATTGCAGTGGAAATGGACCTCAGCCAGTCGGCACACTCCTGTATGGAGTAGCATTGCAGAACCCCAGAGCTGATGCCATCCATAGCTATGACTTCAAAAGCATTGGGTCTGCAGAACAGAGAAGATGTTACACGATATTTTGAAAATGATTTCAAGTGTAATGAGCAACTAACTCCACAATACATAATGTATGATATTGCAATGCGCGATACCGTTTTTTTTTTCTTCTCAAAGCTTGGCACACACGCGTTTTTAATTACAGCCCCCTTGTCAGTCCATTGCTGGATGAAAGCCAATGCTGTGTCGGTCATGGAGGATGATTGACCAGCGAGGGCTGGCGAAGTGGGAGATCCAGGAACAGTTCAGATATCACTCACCACTGACGTTCACTGTAGGCAGGTTCGTAGCGCAGGGCACTCACCACAGCGCCACTGCCTCCACCCGTTGGGATTCCATGAGCTTGAGGTCTATGCCTCATTGTGCTTCACTCCATTTGTTTCTATCCCTCTGTCGTTTGTTGACAGGATGTGAGTCGACAGCATCCACGATACTATTTATGAATATTGAACGTAGCTCTTAAATGTCAAGTTTTACTTTAAAAATGATCGCAAGCGAACGCAGACTATAAAATATACTACTGGCACCTCTCATTCTAAGAAATGTCTATTTTAAATTCTGTAGTATTCTCCACGAAGTTTTATACCACCTTTTATAGTTCTTTCCCAAATAAAGCTGCCTTACCTTAATCCCACCTACCTAGTTGTATTTTATGTAACGAGCGTACACAGGGTTATTCTTTGAAGTCTTCAGAAGTACCTCTGTGATGCTAAAAGAGTTAGACAATTTTGGTACTGTTTTTTTTTTCCACCTCACACACTCATCCATAAAGATAACAACAATTTTAATAGTTTATTTTTGGTTCACATATGGCACCTTTCTGGCACAAATATTCCACCCAAAGCGCCATCACGTAATTGAACATTAAAAAAAAACTATTTTCAGTAAAAAATTAAAATCAAGTTGTGGCTAACGCTGCCTCTCTGAGTCTTAAGATTTTTTTTTTATGAAGGTGCTGCATTTGGATGTTTGGCCAATTGCATTGCTGAGTGTTTTTGCTTTGTGTAGAAGGGAACCAGAGAACCGACAGAAACCCCAAGATCCATGCAAGAAAAGGACCGTCAGCACTGCAATCTCCTGACATTTATGCAGCCCCCACGCCTACAACACCTGGAAAGCCCTGACAGTCACCCATCTAAGTACTAAAATAAACAACAACAATCATAATAATAATAATTTAAGACCGTTTGCCAACCCACTGCTAAATTAAAAAAAATAATCTCCCCACACCGTGATAGTCCTAGGAGTTGTATCACGTCACTGATATTAACCGTGGCCGAGGATTAAACTCAGGTCGTCATGGTTACGGCGCAGTATGTTAACCACTGCACCACCGCTCCATCCCACGTGAGCACTCATCGTTACTAAACTCTGACCTCCACATTGCTCCCCAGACCCTCTGTTCCACCATTGCACCATCGGTGACCACTTTATTACCCACTACGCTCCCGCCCTCTGGAACCACTTCCCTATGGCAACTCCACCCGGGTCCCCATCTCTCTCTTTGCTCTAAAGTCTTCTTTTCAAAAACTTCCTCTTCAACTCCCATTAATTCCTTGCTTTCTCTCCCCACCCCCTCCACTCTTCATATGCAAAGCTGCACTGTCAAACGTGTGTTAGGTTGTGGGTGCATTACAAACATAATTTGCTGTTGCTCAGATTTCAAGATCCGATGAAACCTGGTTGCGCTATGGGGTGAATTGGTTGGAGATGTGTTGCTAGAAAACAGGCAGGCATGCACGTGTGTGTGTGTGTGCATGCGGTAGTGTAGCGATCCTCGCTCACAGCACATGCCCCAACCGTCTGTTAAGGCTATACGGGGGATCTTTGTCTTAGAAGCGGCTATTGCGCTGCGCTATGAACTCGACGATTCATGCTAACGGCCAACACCCAGTGACGATTATCTGAGCCGGTCATGGGCCTCCCGTAGGTCGACTCAGCCTCAAATGAGTACCTGATGCTGTGTATAAACATCGCCACTGGGGAGACAAAGGCGGCCCGGCGTTTTGCTGGCCACCCACCCCCTCGTGTGCCGTGCCGGCCTTCATAGGTGCTCGCTAACAGCACCACTTGCCCCCAACAGTCTGCTAAGGTAATATGGGGGGTGTCCTTGTGCTCGACTGACCTGAGCTGGTCGGAGCCCGGCGTGTAGAGGGATATCCTGGCCAGCAGCAGGGGAATCGCCAGGGAGTCGCACCAGCGCTTCTCCCAGCGAGGGGTGGCCGACACGGGGGAGGATGGGGATGATGGGGTCTGCTTACAGGGCCATCACACGGGGACGTGCTTGCAATGGAGCCGCTGGCTGTGAGGCTCGATTCCACACCCCCCCCCCCCCCCCCCAAAGAACGTCGAGTCGGTCCGTTCGTCACCATCAGCGTTCTCGTCAGCCAAGATCGATTCACTGCTGGATGAAGGCCTTCCTCAAGACGTCGCCACCGCTGACGGTTTTGCGATGTGACAATCCACCCTAGCACCTGTGCACGAGCTGATTTCATCACTCCCATCGTCCACGGAGGATGTTTTTCAGCCCTTACAATGCTCTGAGTAAACTTTTTTGTTAATTAAGTGAGCGTTGTTTAAATTTCTAAATTGCATGTGAATACATTTCCTTTCCAGTTCAAGGGTTTATACATATATATATAAATTGCCTAATCAATTATTAATTGTTATGGGAATGAATAACGCCCTTAAATTATTAAAACATCTAAAACTTCCTGGCAAAACTTTTTTTTTGTTGGCCAAGCATTATTGAATTTCAGTGGACTTTCACATCGATGCGACTAAATCGATTTTTTTTTTTTACCAATTAATCGCCAGGGGATTTACCATGCAAGGGCAGAGAGCAAAGTCTGACAGGGAACGACTCCCGAGTTAAAAAGTAAACGCTGCCGCAAGCAGCGATGCGGTTTGTCGATTGACCCCAAGAACTCTGCGGCATCGAGACAGATTAGATGTTTGTTCTCTCTCGGACACAATTTTTTTTTTTACTTGTACCATCGTAATTAGATCCACCTGAAATAAGTGTCAATGCCAATTTCTTTACGCTCTTTTTAGGGTAACTGATGGTGACTGGCCTATGACCGTGGACGAATGCGCTGCGTCGGAGGACAATTTCACTCAGCAGTAACCTCCAGCCATGTGCTGAGGCGCCCAGAGGTGTTACCTCGCCACTCTAGCAAAGACATTAACTTTCAGGAGTCACGCAGCTGCACGATAAATTGTTTGCTTTGTTAACCCTCAGGACATCACCAGCGGAGTCGATTCGACGCTGCACCGTATACTTTTATATAATAAAAAAAACGCTTCATGGGGACCACAGCCCCGATGAGTGATCTGTGAAATTCATAAGTTCAGCTATTATTGCTTTTACCACGAAGCAGATACGTTCACGTGGAAGCAAGGGGTCGAATAGAAAATAAAAAAATACGTGCAGCCGAATGGTTTTGTGATCACGCATTTGCTCCTGACACCAGCGTTAGCCGATCGACCTCTTGGTTTATATTTGCCAATGCATCACAAGGGTATCGCGGCTCGGAGGACATTAAGCCCAATGTTCCCATCTGGCCACTCAATAATGCAAGACACCTGGTAATGGATAAAATTGCTTACATTCTAAAATGTAACCACTGGAACACAAGACAGAGGTACTCGTTATAAACTTGCTGCACACTGTTTAATTGAGGTGACTTTTTGGAAGTAAACGAACGGATAAATAACAGCGTGATATAAATTCGCGACTTTTTGTTATTCATAATAAAGTTTTTTTTGGGTTAGATCGCGTTATTTATAAATGTGTCGTAACCCTCCACCACCCGACACGGCCAAACAGTAAAACATTCGTCACGTTTACAAAAGACAAATAATTCACTACTTTAGCCGACTGGTGTGTTGAAGAGTGAATCAACATCATTTACAATTTTGAGTACGACGTTTCGCTGGTAATTACATGCTTTGAAAATATAATGAGCATCTAACAAAGGATTAGAGTTTCAAATTAAAATGAAACTCTGTCCAAAAACGTCAAACCTTGAGAGATTATAACTTTTAAAAAATCCTCTAAACTTCAAAGGGGCTTCAAAAAAGAATGGCGCTTCATATTACACAGTGTTTAATTGGTATACAATCGGCTTGAAAATATACCGGCCTTAGCTTGTTATCATTTCAATTCATTTTAATGATTTCCCAAAGGTACCAGCTGGCGTATCACAAGATATAATCTGCTTAACTGCGAGCATAACATGGAAACAGTAGTGTTTCATTGCTTAGTTTATTTTTGTACCTCTTTAACGTTTTACTGGACCGTTAAAGCACTGTCAGTTTGCCCAACATGACTATGAAGACGTTTTTTAGTCATTAAATATGAACCCAAACAGGTTAAGATGCGGTCTTACAATTCCTTTCTCACGATTGCCAGCAGAAGAGCCTATAATTCGAAGGAGCTCCAGACAGCTTCACTAGATTATATTTTTTGGTCTCCTCTTCCACGTCAGATATCTTCAAAGAGTTGGGATTACCCACCTCATGCGATCTCCCAATTAACGAACTGTGGCGTGCATATTTAAACTGCTGGATGGAGAGGGATGGAGGCATTTAAGAAACGTATTGCTGTGCCGGAAGATTTAATTGAACTGGAGTCCAATGTGCTAACCATTATGCCATGACAACGTCCTGTAATAACATACAGCGGTTAAATCAAATCTAGCACGAGGGATCACCAGTCTGTTTAAAAAAAAACGACTACATCCCGCATGCACACAGTGAGGGAACAGCAATTGTTTTTATTCTTGTCCAGGTTGTCGTCTTTGCAGGTTCATGGGCATGCCATTAGGGCTCCGCTACATTACCCTTAATGCCTGTGTGCTTACACTTTGTCACGAGAGGCTTGGTTCACAAGAGGCATTTATTTCCAAGTGTAGCTTTCCGTGTTATTGTTTATTGTCACATGAGACTTACTGTGTTGGTGGAGTTGTTGTTCAAGTGTAGTCCGCTGTCAAACAGAGGAGAGGAAGCAGTGCTGCTTTGATCACTGGGGATCGATGAATCTGCAAAACGGAATGAGCCCCGACATTAAGGGACCACAAGTCCCCAAAGCATACGTTTATGGCAATAATGCGTCCATAAGGGGCGTCTAATGAGCTGCAGTTTTACACCTCCGAGACGGCATCGCAATCAATAAATGCCTCGTGATTCTCACAGATTGTTTTTTTTACGAAGGTAAACTTTGTAAAATGTGGACATTGCTCGTCCGAGGTGTAAAAAAAAAATATCCCACGCGCGGTGGTATAGATACACAACATAATTATCGTGGCTCGCGTTGTATAAGTGCGATTTATACCATCGTTGCGATAATTGGCAGAGAAAACAAGAGTGTTTTTTTCCCCCCCTCTATATATTATGATCAAGTAACAAATGGTATGAAACAATAAAACAAGCGTTATTACTCACAGCAGCTTTGCAGACCTATATATTAAATGCGGCGTTATTGCAAGTCAATAAAATGAACACACTGCAAGGAAATTCAAGGGAAGAAAACAACACAAAGTTGTGATTGTGCTTTTTTTTGGGGGGGGGGGGAGAGGGGAGAGGAGGGGATTTATTCTCTTCACTTTCATTGGTGACGTGACAGCTCGAGGCTAGAAAGGAGCAAAAGTTTGCCATCCAACCTCGCGCCTAACGCAGTTGTGAGATTCGTGCAGCCACCACGGCGTACGGCCGTACCAGGAACGGGGTTGGCGACACACCAGAGCCGCTGTCTGGTCAGGATAATGGGTTACTCCGTGAGGTGCTTGGCCAATCGCATTAACCCGCCGCAACCTGCAGAGAGGCCAAGGCGCATCGAGCGCTGCCTTCGCTAGAACCACTCTGAGGCTATGTCTGATTTTTTTTTGCTATTGACATTAAACGAAAAAAAAGAGTTGTATCCGTTTGAAAAAAAAATGTGGCCAATTTTATGGCTGGGTCCTGGGGGGGCGGGGGAAGGACAGAAATTCCGTAGACCATAGTTCGAACTCGTTGCTCCTGGCTTCTGGGAAGGGGGATAATTTTGGGCTCACTGCCCCACTCACGTAGCAGGGGCTGCGAGCATCGTTTTTTTATATATGTGGAAGGGACGACAAGGGAAGGGGAACAAGAGTAAAGGAAAAATGGGGTGGGTGGGTGGGGGCCAGAATCCGATCTCGTACTCACACTGGCCTTCTTCGATAAGCGGAAGCTTGAGAAAGGCAGGGATCTTCCTCAGATACCGGACTGTAAAGGTGACCTCATCGCCGGCAGTCTGCAGCACTTGTACCTAATGGCACCACAGACGGCTTGGAGTGTTTAAGTGCTACGCTAATGACAGCTTACCATTTTACACGTTATTTATTTATTTGCTTAGACGACCGAGGAAGGCCATACCGATCATTGTCCCCATTTCTAGGTAGAGTCCTGCTTGGCCGATTCATCTTTTTGGAGGAGAAGAGAATGGTTGACAAATACACTGCTATTTGTGGGGATAAGCATCAGAGCTGGGGCTGCGGCATTGGCAGCGATACGCAATGATGGCTATACCGTACTAATAGGGATGAAATTGGTAAATATTTACTTTGTCCTTCTGCTGCCTGTCTTCGTTAAAAATGCCACATTTCTTTATTGAGAGCGAGTCCCCATCAAAATGCTGCGTGCAGAATGTGGGTATAAGTGTGTGATGTCGTCTTCATATTCAAAGCATGCAAGGATTCCTGTTATGCTTTGCTGGTTAAGACACATTTCGTGTATCCATTATTTTGGAGAAATGTAGCAATTTTTAATGTTATTTTCTAGTCACTTTATTACATTGACGTTCTTTTGTTATTCATACATCATATTTACGAGGGCAACATAATCCATGACTCATTTTTCCATCGCAATTTTTTTTAATGCATCGTACCTTTCATTATAATTTGAGTTGAACTTAAACTAATACCATTTTACCGACGTCTGAAAGTGCACCATACAACTTACCACTTCTTCATGTGTTGCGTTTTCCACATTGATGCCATTTATCTGTTTGAAATATAAAACATTCATGGGGTTTGAAATAGATTCACAGCCCAATGTATGGGATAAGATGTATATAACATCAACTTATCTAAATCTACTTTTAAGAAGCCATACATGGTAAAAGGAAGAGGTGCAGCCCTGAAATTGCTTGCTCAAGCTACTGCTGGCAGAAGGCCCTACGCTAGGGGAGCTCTTATGAGCCCTTCTCGAGGGAACATCAGCCTAGTCTTCCAAGCTGAGGTGAAAGTAACCACTCTTTACCCCACCACACGCAGCCCACTGGTCGACTAACTGCGGTCGACAGAATCATACTGGGTGGACAGAAATCCAAAGATATTTTCAAAGGCTGCGTAGAAACACCACTGGCGCTTGGGAAAATTGCAACGTATCGCTTTTAAGCAGGTACAATCAATCAGTGCAATCATTGTACATTACAAAAAAACAACACTAAAATGAATATAACATGAATCAGTTTTTTTTTTTCTCATCGGGAATCACAACAATTCATCAAAATGGAAATGGAAGGTATTACTCACTCTCAAAATAGCATCGCCAATAAACAGCATTCCTGTTTGGTCAGCTGGATTTAAAAGAAAAATGTACATGATTTAACTTATAGAGGTAACAACACATTGTCTTGCAGTCAATCCCTTGCATTTTTTCTAATATATGTATTATTTTAATTAATTGTCAAGTATATTTTGGGTTGCATAGCCTTTCCAATTTCTAGTCGTTAGGATTCAACTTATTTTGCACGTACATACATACATGTCAGTTTAACACGTAGGCTTTCGCGACCAATATTATTCATAATAAAGGTTTTTGGGTTAACGCGATCTAACCCAAAAACCTTTATTATGAATACATACATGTGTTCGTGGTGTGGCCGTTAGCGATTCCCGCTCATGACCAACACCAGTGGCGATTATCCTCCCCTAGGTCGTCTCAGCCATAAATAATTACTTAGTGCGATGTGTAAACGTCGCCATTCAGGAGACAAATGCGGCCGAGCGCGGTGCTGGTCACCCACCCTCTCGTGTGCCTTCATAGGTGCTCACTAAGAGCACTTGGAGCACTTGCCCCAACAGTCCGTGAAGGCTATCGGGGGCATCTTTGTCTTTGTGATATATGCATAAGAGGTGCGATGGCACAGTTTGTTATGGCACTGAGCTACTAACCTGACTTCCATTGCTGGCCATGGCTCTCATCAGCCTTCGAGACTATTTATTTACTGTGGTATGTAAACATTAACACTGCGGTCGTGCGTGATGCTGGCCGCATCACCCCCTTGTGTGCCATCAACGCCTTAATCTCACCTCACTAACAGTATTGTCCTCAACTGCCTACACAGGGGTGGGTGGGAGGGGGGTATATTTCGTGGCTATATGTGCTATTTACACTGCCAAAATACGTTTCTAATAAGGCAATTTCATTTGCCGATGAATGAGCATTCACCTGATGTCCAACTTTTACTAAATGAATTTGTTCGGATCACTGTTTTAAATAAGTGGCACGGTTGTGAAAATTGTTTTGGCTTGTGTATAGTGGGCAACGTGTGGCGTTGTATGAGTTTGTTGTCGTTGCATAACACCTTGTTACAAAATAATGCGCGTTTATTACTTGAGCCTTTTACAGGCCTGGCAATTTTCACATACAGGGTGTCACATACATTTATTACGTAGTCGAAACACACACACACATTCCCCGCAGTGTTGAGATGTATTCTATAGATACGAATACGAGGTTTTAATTCACTACTATAATGAGCCAAGAATGTCTATGTCCCACGCGTGTGACGTCACTCCACGTCGGCCAGCCCACCCTCATTAATAATCATGAACGGGTGACGTCCTCCACATGGATCCCCCCCCTCTCATTAATAATCATGAGCGGATGATGTCACTCCACATGTAGCACCCTCCCCCTCATTAATAATAATTAGCGGCTGACGTCACTCCACAAGGGGGGGGCGAGGCGCCTCCTCCCCCCTCCTCGGCGTCAACTGACAACCCTCACTACAAAGGCAGAACCCTCACGTCATCACGTGATCTCTGTAACGCTGTTGTTGAGACATCAAAGTAAAGAGGACGTCGTGATCAACAAGGGATTATAACATTTACATGAAATAGGTCTGTGTCACCGCGCCCTTACAAATTGCACACGAATTGATGCAGTGAATATCACGTCGCGGTCTGCTTTTCGCTTGCAAGTTTCAGATTTACTGCAATACACCCACATCTTGGACGGGCAAAAGGCTAGTCGTCAAAATAATCAGAACAAACATTGTTATTTTCAAATCAAGATTGTTATTTTGTCAATGCTTGCAAAGAGTTTGAATTTACCTGCCTGGTCTTTCATGATTTTGGAAATCACCACTGGCACCCTGTATTCAGCTCCTCCCTGTTTGAAAAAGACATTTGTACAGACATGTTTAATTAACGTACGCAGCAGTTGTGTCTGTACATCATAGCGCACGCACACACACACATATATTTTCTTAATCTAAAGGAAACCTGTTGTTGTTATGCTTAATCGTGTTTCGTCTGTGATACTGCATTGGCAGTAGTGCACGAGCCCAAATAACAACGCTTTGACACATTCGTCACCGCCACAGCTTTAAAAGGAACACAAAAATTAGGCAACGTTACGGGCAATGGACCTCCTCTATACACGTGCCACGACGAAGGGCCATCCCCTCCCCCTCCCCCCCCAAAAAAATTATGGTTAATAACATCGACTATAATATATGTTCACTTAAGAGGAGGGTTATTGACGAATGTGTTGAGTCATTGCTGAAACTGAAATGTTCATTCCATACGCAATTCAAAACAACGGCTCGATTTGGTGGCACAGCACACGAAGGCGTTGCGCGATCTCCAATGTCGATGTCCCAGCGGCGCTCGTGACACTGTGTCAAGCTGTGGTGTTGTTGTTGTTGTGTGTTGGTGTTTATTGCGTTGCTGCCCGGAGGACCTCACTCCATCTCGGAGGTGAACCTATTCTGCTACGTATAATGGAGCTGCCATTTCAGCAGCTGCAGTGTTGACACCACCGCATGATGCAGTTCGGTATAATAATTTGTTTTTTTTATTAATTTCTGTGAGCAACAAAAAAATACGCGTTGAAGATTATACGTTTACGCCGGAACACTGTGTACCTGCTGCACGCTATGAAAACAAACACATACCTTGATGCTTAGTCCAAAGCCCCCTATTTCTTGTCTACGTAAAGTCACGCTTCGCTCCTGAGGAAACACAAACAAGGTGTAATTTGAACAAGTTTTACTTTCAGTGGAACTTCAATTCATAAATGCCTCGTTGGCTGCTCTTGAGATGTGACACGTGCGCATGTGAGCACCAGCTATATATATTTGTTTTACCAAGTTTAAATCCTTGGTCGTTATTGTCAGTCAGGCTCGACACACTGCTGCACTGAGGCCTCCCCAAGCCTTTCTCATCTATATCTCTCTCTCTCCCGTGATATAACAAGCCACCTAGCACGTACAGTACACACGAGTTGCTGTCATTGCTCCATCTCCCCAGTGGACGTTATCTCAGACGCATTCCATTCCTTGGCTGTCACTCCGGCACTACGTTCGACAACTGACCAAGTTTAAACACTCTGGATAAATTTGACTCAAAGCATAGGTGGTGCAAGGGTTGGTGGAGGTGAGGTCATGGCGGGAATCATCTCTACCTGTGCAGACTTTGGGATGAACAATGGACAAGCATTAGAATTCCTTGTGAAGGGAAGCATAAGTCAATTTACTTAATTTAAAAGCATGTATTGTGACATAACTACATTTTTAAAAAGTAAATTGTATAAGTACAATTGTTATATGATTAAACATTTAAAAATGGCAGCGTACAGTAGTAGAGAGATGCTGTAGCTAAGATGATTAGTAAAAAAAACCACTAATTCAGGGATTGAACCGTGCATATGAAGGTTAAGCCGATGCTCATGTCCTATCTCCTTTGCTACAGCTCCTCTGCACGACAGTCACTGTTTGTTTTGAATACTTTTTACATTTGATCTTTACCACTTTATTTTCAACAAGTAAGATCACAACCAACAGGCATGATACCAATACATTACAGCATCATCAGTCAAGCCATCTCTGTCCCTGTCCAAGTTGTTATTTTAGTACTACAATATGTGGCAGCATGGACAAAAATATGAGATATTTGGTGTTCTTAACAAACACCAAGGGTAGGTAAAACTGTCATATCACATGACGTGTGAACATTTTATGAAAGCGTGTGTGGTCAAAGGATCCCACTCCGTCTTCAACTCCTAGACGTCGTCATCAACGGAAGAGCTCAAGTTCTGTAGCATTGTGGCATCAAACTTTTGGCAATTTAAGTTTGTAGTGCTGGCACGTTGTGGTCTTTCCAATGCCACTGTAGTACAAAATATACCTGGAAGGGTCCGTTGATTGTAAAACACATGAGCTGACGTGAGGTTGATGAGGAAACATGTGGTGTGGGATTGAGTGAAGGTTTGTTCACACTCGGGTTGAATTTTTTTACTATCTTTCAATAAAGTTTTTGCACATCTGGACACAGCCAAAAACTTGTGTCCATATGTTCATGAGTTTTCCTGAGTACTTCTAGAGCAATAGGCATCGATCAGAGTGCAATAATTAACTCCGCATGTGTTAGTATGGTCTACTCCATGCAAGAATTGAAACGGAGTCGGCCTTAATTGTGACAGCTCTAACTCTCTACTCCTTGCTATGAGACAAGGCAGGACATTATTCCACTCCACAAGGATAGCAACTGTGTTCTGAATGTATTCCATATTTATGGTGCATGGAGTATTATATAACATTGAGATGTTGTCGTTTAGGTTTGGTCCCTCCAACCGTCTTCGAAGAGGAGAGGGTGTTTGTCATTTCTTTAGGTCAGCAGTGTCACTTTAGCCCAGTGTTCTTCACTCACGTTCAGAGGGGCGGGTGCCACTTTTGCTGCTAAGACATCAGTGAGAGGGCCGCCACACATTTGAAACCATTGGGATTTGACAGCAGCACGATGGGGGTGTTGTCACGTGTTGTGTATTTGTCGGGGGGCCGCACATCAGGGACCGCACTCAAGGCCATCAGGGGCCGCCAGTGGCACGTGGGCCTTGCAATGAAGACCACTTCTATAACTCCACTTTCCAACCTCAACTCTCATGCCCTCCTCATGAATCTCCTACCTGCCTTTCCACCCCCTCCCTCCACAGAATCAGTTAACCCTTGTAAAATATTGCCATCACCATCAATTACTCAAGGTAATGGTCAGCTGCTCTGGCCCCATACGAAACAGAGCGATGCTGCGTAAATGTTACCCTGCGGGATTAACTCACTTTGGCGCTGCACTGGCTGCCCGTGACACACACCACCTCTTGGTGCTGGATGGTCAGGAGGTCCTTGGAGATTTTCAGCCGCACTTCGTGTGGTTCTGATTTCCCATCAATGAGCAGCACAATGCCAACTTTAGTCTGCGAGAGTGTGACACAAATGAAAGAGATAACGAGCGAAAATCATTAAAGTTGTTCGTCTGAGCATTTGAGTTTGATCTGATAGGTTAATGTGTCTGACTCCTTTCGACTTACCACACCAACTGACTGTTAAGTCATTCACGTGAATAGAAGTAATGAGAATCAGGACAAGTTTAACCCACACCAGAAATAACTGCAATATTCCGGCAATTGCTTCATGCTGGAACCTGCTAGCTGAATTGATAAATAAATGGATTTCCTTGTACATGAGGAGATTTTTATATAAGCGTTCCAATAATAGTACAGCAATACGTGAAGCATACGATTGACAAGACGTTTAAAAAAATCTAGCCTGTTTGCTGTGAATTGCTATAACCAAGCGCAATATAATTTAAATAACAAAATATAATCAAAGTAAATATCAATAAATATCATCTTTCAACACAGTTGCTGAGCACAAGACCAAAAGTTCAAAAAGCCAAACGGCCAGCAACAAAAACGCAGCATTAGAGGTGCAATAGATAAGAGTCGATACGTTTCTTTTAATTTATACAGATTATGCTAACTTGGGAAAACGGACAAACGGGAGAGAATTCCAAAACCGAGCAGCGTGATGAATGAAGCAATCTGGGAGGTGGTTGTAGACCAGATGTGTGGTTAATTGAACACATGCTAGGATGAGACGAAATAGTTAAATGTGCAGAGATGTTGCCTGACTTTTGTCGGGGTTTCATTTGAAGGTAATCTGAAAATGTCAATGCCCCGTGGATTAAATGGCGCACATTGCAGCTGAACGCGACGTCATTTAAATAATTCGAGGTGCGGTAAGTTCACTTGTGAGGTTTTTTTAGCTCCACAAAGCAGCGTTGCGTGGAGCAGATACACATGCAACACAAAACAGGATGCTATCGTTGCTGGCTGATAATGCTTTAGAGTGGACCATGTTGTTCCATTTATGAGCAAAGTAATACAAACGGTTCAACAAAGTTAGTTTCTTTTGAGTTTGGTCGTGCAACATCAATTTGCGGCTATTACCCTCCGTCAGCTGACAGAATCAATCTAATCAAGTTGTCACGTGGACTTTTTAAAGAAAAACTGTCGAAACTTTGATTGATTTTCAACTTTCCGGTTTTGTTGATAAACTAAATCAATTGGCGCATTTTCCCACCTGTGGCATCGTGATGTTATTGGCTCAGCCGGGTGGCAGAGGGTCATAGTTAAACGACTTCGACTATACCTACAAGACCTAACCCAACATGAACTAATCATGAATCATTATATTGGTCGTAGAAGCCTACAGTATAAAATGAAAGTGAGTTTGATCATTAACGGTGATATTTCAACATTGAATAAAGCAATAAGTATTCTTATTTGATAAACACCATTCAGTTTATGAAACAAGTTCAGACAAGAAAAGTCCGTTCCATAGCTAGTGTCTGAGGTATTATTCTTTAGTTTACTATTTTGGGGGAATTTCTGCTGGAATCGTTGCACATCACGTTTTGTAAGTTGTCTGCGAGGATTTCTGCTTCAGGATGAGTATTTTCAAAGACGCATACATCATCATATGAGAGAACATCTGCAATGTACGTGTGATAATGGGTTTCATTGATTTTTTTTTGCGAAGGTGTAAAACGGTATCAACCAGAAACTGCCGTGACGGGACTGTGTGAAAGGATTGCTGGGCAAGCAAAGTGATGCTTGACAAGTTCAGTAACAAGCGAAATACATTTATGCAAAGTCATCAACTACACCAACACTGACACTATGCAATCACCATTAACTAATTATGTCAGATAGATTTCATTTCAGATGTATGCTTGAATATACTTGGTATTGCGTACGTATTCGATTATATATGATAGCCTGTTCCACATTTTTTGTTATCGTATTATTATCAAATCACACAAAAGTAGAATGTATCATAAAAGTAATGTAACAAAAACTGATTTCACAACCATTCTATGCGGCAAATATGCCGCTTTATAATGTTGTTTGCCATATTACAAAAATACATTGTAGTTTCCCCGTGATTGTAAGCCATTATAAATATAGCTCTGAGATTGCTCAAGAGGTGTGGTTTTGTACAGCATGCTGCGAATCTCATTATGATTCTGTTGGCTGGATTTAATAAGTTGTTCAGCATTATGCCACCCCTGACAGTGTGCATTAAATGTAATGCAAACAATACAACTTAAAAAAACAACACGCCCCAAGCAGAGGTTGAATGTAATTGGTAAGAATGTACCAATACTATAATAATATATTCTGAAATATGTACTGCACATAAATATAGAATTACATTTCTAAAGGCCATAAAATATTGTTGATTTTATCGTTGACTAATTTTCTTGCAGATATCCACCTATATAAACATACCATTGGCATGCCTCGAGTGCAGTTCATGCTCATCTTTACACTATACAATAATATTTTTTATTATCTGTACCAGCTGTGGCATATCAGAGTGGAAACAATACCGCGTGCCATGCGATATTGTGTTTACTTTATTTTATTTTATACGTAACTGGCTTTAAACATTGTGGCAATCGTTTTCGGAGATCGCAGAATGCGCCCAATGCACACCACGCACCCACAGTGTACAAGATACATCAATAAAATACCCGTCTTGAGTTAACACGTAGGGTTCCACAGCCAATATGAATCATCATCATCATCATAGATTTTTGGTTAGGCCATGTAATGTATTGACCAAAACTGTATCGCAAGACTCTTTCCCACCCTACGCGACCAAGCAAACACAATTGTCACGTGCACAAGCATGTACGGAACCAATTATTTAAATGACATGTCGTATCTAATATACAAATTTAGCTTTGAGAATTGTTCTTCGAATGACAATTGCGCACGTGACAATTTGATTTGTTCGGCTGTGTGAACACGGAGACGCGGGTCTGATTCCTGGCCGTGGTTATCATGAGTGGCAAGTGATATCTCAAACCGGCCCTGGGCCTCTATCCTCCTTCCCTAACTCACGCTGACCAGCCTGGTGATGTATGATCAAACTACTCCAATAACGGACACGACGAGGGGGCAGGCCTTCAAGCAGCAGTGGATTGGCATATGTCTGCGCAATATTAAAAGCAAAAGCAACAACGGATATTACACAAATGTAGGTTGCGTACCAGGAAATACCCACATATGGAATTAAGTAAATTAGAGGTTACAAAATGTAATGCTCGAACAAACAAACAAACATTAAAAAAAGTTAAGCTGCCACATTATTCAACCTAATGTATTCAAGGGGCAGAATAATCCTCTTTACTTTCCTACTTCAACCTTATTTGTTGCGGTTGCAGTCAATAACCGTTTACCAAATTTAAAGATAGATTGAGTGGGCCTGCAGCAAGAAAAAAGCAAGCGCAGAGGTCTCTGCCACAGCGCGTTCATTCTGCAGAGAACTGCAGCCAGATTTAAATTGCTATTAAAACCTCTGAGACACAGCCACACAAGGGACAATGTGCTACATTTTTGCAGGAATGGCAATTCTATATATGTAAAAAAAAGTTCTCACCGAAATTATTTGATTCTTAAATTGCCTGGTGTGTTGTGGAATGCTATGCTACCATTGTATGTTGTTTCGTGAAATGCTTATTACATTCGCTTCGTTTGGTTTGGAATTGTGCCAATTATTTTTCAAGAATGACTCCTTAGGCTAAAAATGTGATGGCACTTCCCAGCAAGCAGAGGATTCTACTTCATTGATTTATTTAATGATTTCCAGAATGGTACGCACAGCAGGCAGTCTGCTGACACTGGCTAAATGCTGCAACGGAAGCTCACTTTGTGATTTTTTTTTTCTCCAGCAAATTCCATCCGGAGCTGATTATTACATTTCACTGGACTGATACGCATACATAAGCAGGGTCGACATCTGCGCAGGGCTAGCATAAACAAATCCTGGAACATCTGGAAGTTCATATTGAGTATGAGCCAGTGGTTCTGCCACCCCACAGACGGTTGCAAGAATACATTACATGGGGGTTGCTTCACGTCACTGCAAACATTATTATGCACAAGATACACAGCGAAATTATTTCAAAAATTGTGTGAAACTGTGGCGTAAAGAGACTGATTATAATTAACGTAATTTTAATGGTGTAATCATAATGAGTTTTATTCATATCAATCAAAATGATCCTAGTTTGATTCGGTGTACCCCTATATTTTAATGAATCCAGGTCATCCTGAGCTGTTTGTAGCCCTAAACGTTTTGTTTTTTTTGGTTGCTTTTGCCCAATGCCAGCACCGCAAATAGGGTATAGCAAGCCTTGCGTCTCTCAAACAAAAATCCACCAGCTGTGTGTGGGCATGCACCTCCGATTAGCACGGTTGGCTGCATACGGTGCAAAAGAAGTTCAACATTACATACATGCTACAGATAACAGATGCTTTTAACGTACGTGTTAACAGCTTCTCCAAAATAATTGTTTAAATACTTATTTAGTGTTAACTAAGCACATTTAGATTGTTAAGTGGTGGTAAAGAGAACTGAAAATAACATTCTTGGACATTTTTCTTCAGTTCCTGTCAACTCAACACAGGCTGGATATTCACGTATCAAAATTGTAAATTTTACCGGAGCTGAAAGAGTTTTTCTGTTCTCAGTTTTTCAAATAAGTATTGGATGTATTGTCTCCCACAGAAACGTCCATATTTACTACAACTCTACATTAGAGTATTGTATGTACATTTACAGCTAAGTTATATATGCAACATGACAATTTATGTAACATATTGAACCAATCCCGCAAACGATTTATGCCAAATACATATTTTTGCTTAAAAACGGCAAGCTTTACCATCCCAAACAGAGAATAAATTGACCGACAGTAAAAACATCATTATTACTAAAATTACAATTTCAGAATTCCTAACTATAATATTCTGAGTGCTGTAGCAAGCACATTGTTCTATGTATGGAAATGATTATATGTCTGCACTGGTAATATGCACAGAAACAGCTTAAATTTCCTTTG